CATGCTAACCATGTTTGTTCCTTAATGGTTTAATATTATCTCTTTGGCGCATTTCTATATCTTAGTAAACTACTATTTTCAGGTTTCCTTCCATTTAAAGGTAATTTTGTACGCGGCCAAAATAACTCAAAATGCTGTGTCTGAACTCCTTTAAGAAAAGCGCGCGCAGGAAAGAGTAATACTTACGGTACTGCAAACTTGGAAATGGAATTGATGAACTGTTTTCCCACCATGATAACAGCCAACTGAATGCACAGCTCAATGAAACATCCTGAAGGATCACAGCCTTCCATTCGTCCTCCGGCAATACGATTGTAATTCCCAGGGTAACCTATGATATGACTGTTCTTAAAGAACGCTATGTAAAACAACGACGAGTACATATTCACGAACTGGAATGAAAATAGTTTCAGTGTTAAGATGTTATGATACTCTGTTCTGGTTCGTGGCGTTTCCCACTCTGTGAGCGCAACAGCGATCTTCTCATACACCAGACCCAGCACTGTGATAGCCAGGAGATTGAGCACGGACGCGGTCAGTGAGGTAATTATGCGCGCGCCCTGTTGCACGTCTTCATCAGGATACGCCGACAACACCGCAACCATGGCGGCCCGGTAGATCACAACTCCCACCAAAGTAGCAATCACTAGCAGCACCATGAACGAAACGATCATAAACCCGCAGGTAAACTTTCCCGCGCGTAGCGAAAACGGGATGTAAGGCTCGAGTTTTCCAGTGACGGGGTTTGGTTTCTTGTTCTGGGCTTTGGTGACAAAAGCCGGGCGTGGAGGTTCGAACTCTTCCTCAAAGTGCAACATGTCCCACTCGTAAGCCAAGCTTATCTGACGCCTCCGCCACACCTCCAGAAACACCGTTGCCCAGAGTGACATAAAAACAGCGAAAAACACCGTCCCCTCGTGATCAAACAAATGAGTGACTTTGGCGTAATCACAGCTCTTTGTTAGCGTCCAATAGCTGCAGTCTTTGTCGCACAACGGACACATGTAAAACAACTGCGAATTATTTTTATCACAAATTTCTTTCACAGGTGTAAAAGTCCTCACTGTTATGAGGCCAGCCACAAAGCACCACAAGCCAACCAAAGCAGCAATTACAAGCATGAAATTGTAAGTTCCTAGCCAAGCAAAATAAAAAGCCACCCGAGTTCCAAAGTACTTCTTCACCGCAGTCAAGGGCTGATATTTGTACCACTGGCTAAAAGAAGCCCAGTTCCTGCACAGACGTTGTCTTTCGTTTTCCGTCGCACCATCTTCGTTTTCTTTCCGAAGATCTTCGTGCAAAGGATACGCAACTGTGTAAGCCCCTTTGTAGAGCAGACGAGAGATTCCGAAGTCGTCCATTTCTGATGAATACTTCGTCGAGAGAAGTAAGCGATGTGTCATTCGACTTCGGTCGATGTCGGAGAAAAAAGTTTCCCTGTCCTCTATGAGAAAGCAGTCACTCTTTGCTCTGCTGAAAAACGCCGTGACTGGCCGCTCGGTTTTCCTGTCGGAGTCATCCTGAACTTGAAAGATATTGAGGACATTTTTAGCCTTTTTCAGCCATCTTTTCTTGCTGGAGGACTTGAAACGGGTTCCTTGGTGCTCCGCGCTAACAGGCACACGGATCATCATTTCCTCTGCGCACTTGGCCAGCACGTCCCATGGGGCATGAATAAGGACAAACACAACATTCTCCTGTATATAGTGAAAGAAAGCCTTATATTTATGTGTCCACCGGGACTAGCGTATCGGGGTACCCGGTCACTCCCCCCTCCTCCGCTCCTGTCCCTAGTCCCTATTTTTTAAGGAAAAAAAAAAAACGGGCAACCTTCCCTGTTTATAAAGGATATACGCTTTGGAAATCTTTAGCGTTCTTGACCGGCGTTTCTTTTATGGCATTTCTCAAAATGTTTTGCTCGACATCCTTTCAAGCGCTTAGTTTCAAAAGGAAAAACTGGAAAAAGGTAATTTCAAGTGATCTCGCTGCGACATCAGAAGCGAGAGAAATGTAAAGAATTGAACGCACTCACAAGTCCACTGAAACACTTGATTTTCACAGGTACACAACAAATTGCACAGGTGCAAAATTCTTAATATAAACAATAGAATTTCTCTGTCATCATTTATAACATAGTACTTTGAACAACATACGATGTGTTCAAATCTGTTTCCCAAGTGCAATTTAAATCGCTTTAGCATTATAAAAATAGAGTTTGCATGCAAAGCGTCCATTGAATGTGTCGGGCAAGTCTAAACCAATACGAAAACAAAATTGACAGGTTCACAGCTGGTTTACAAACCTGCTCGTCCGATGTTACATGCTCTACCATCAGTCCTTGTTTTTTGAGATTTTCTTCGTATTTCTCCCTAATCTCTGCTTTTTCTTTTTCTTCTTCGTCATTTTCTTTACCCGACTCCGGCTCAGAATAAACCAGCACATAATCAATCTTCTGCAGCAAAGAAATACAGAATTCAATTAGCCGGCAATGATTACTTACATATTCTCCTATGGCATCGTCGAGAGTAAAACATGCAGGCAGCGTGGTGAGAACATGCGCTTTGATCACATATGTTTTGACGCGATGTAGAGCTTATGTGGCGGCCGATATTTCTTCCAGTGCTAAGTATATTTTGTCCTCTGTATCATAACATCATGAAAAGTGACAGTGTTCACAAAACTAAAGCTGTTCATATATTGAAAGAAAGTTTTAGTTAAATTTTCCGGCCAAGATAGTGCACTTTTCACGTACAGTTTTCTTGCACTGAAAAGCGCGTTTAGCCTGACTGCTACACCAAAATATTTATAACACAGTTCCTCACCTTGGTTGAAATTTCATTTGCATTTACAGATCTCGTACTCTCTTTGCTTCTGTTCTGTAAAAGAATTTCTTCCATGGCCGACGGTTTCCCGCTCTTAGAAATGTTATCAAGGTTGATTTCCGAAGAACTTATCGCAGCGACATAACTGTCGCGTTTCTGCGAATTTTGACTCCAACGAAGTGTAGCGTTCCTGCCTTCAGATTTGTGGGACGCCTTTAAGATTCCATCCCCTGTGGTTTTAGTGGGCACATGACTTATTTCTTCAGCTTTATCGTTTGGCCTTGGTCGTGAAATCGGATCACTGAAAATGAAACAATTTTGTTTAGTCAAGTGGTGCGTAAGCACTCAACATTTAACCCACCAATCGGCAAACAGACAATAATATCAAAACTCGCCTTACACTTCAAAACAAAATAGCGTTGTCTAAATGAAATACGCACAGGTTGAGTAATAATTACATGGTGGAATGCAGGTGGCTAACCGCTGGGTTTTTTTTATGTGTGTGTGGGAGGCTTTGCAAATACATGTATCCCTTAATTACTGGATTACCCCTGAACTCGCTTTTTTCAAACTAACAGCCATTTTCTTCCACCGTTTGAAAGGAAGGACTTTATATTAGCATCAACTGCCGTGGCTTGACGGTACCTAAGCTCGTCTATAAATATATATATATATATTTTTTTTTTTTCAAGACGCTTTTATTTGATATTCCCCATTCCTTGTTTCTTATTCTAAAATGTACCGTGCAATTTTTCGGACCTCAAGTGTAGTTGATCAGAGAGATATACTTCTAAAGAGGCCATAAGTTAAGTATTCCATCTTCAAAATTATTTCCTTTTCAAAATTATAAACATTGATTTGTTCAGAACAGTCGTGTTTAACCAAACTTCTCGCCTTCCTGAAGTGACTCGAGTTGTACAGCACAATTGATTACATTAGTTCAATGTAAGAAATGTACGAACATGTACACTAAATTTCAAATGTCCGCACTGAATCGAAGCTGCTGAAACCAACTTACCTTCCAACAAGACAAAACACTCTTGAATTGTCCATTCCTTATAGTCCCAAAGGGAGGCAAGTAATAGATCTTTGTAAAATTTCGATTTCGCAATCAGATTATAATTACGTAGAACTGGATTTGCATTGTTAATAAGTAGTTGGGAGCTAATTAATTCAGGACAGAACAATAATTTACACGTCAATGCCTGGAAAAAGACAGAAAGCTGTCTGGTGTTTGATTGATTGAATACTACCTGTTAAAGATACCTTTTTACGGCGAATGGCGCATAAGATAAAGGAATAAGCATCGTTACACTATTTTCTATTCATTTTTCTTGCTTTTTTTTTATAATATTGTTTTCCCGGCCCAGGCTCGATATTTAACAAATTGACGTCAGTTTTTTATGCGTCTGTCCTGTTATTGATCATGAGTTCGTCATAACATTGTCAAAGTAGCTGTGGATCCACGAGGCGAAAGCCGCAGCACAGATCTAAGCAATAGAGCACTTTTTCCGTGACTGCATAGCCTCATCTAAACACGAGCAGGGTTGGGAGAATTCGAGATAGTTATGCAAACCCGAGACGTAGTTGAGGGCTTGCATAACTTTCAAGACTTCTCCCAGCCCCAGAGTGTTTAGATGAGGCTATGTAAACATGGAAAAAGTACTCTGCTACTTTTATAACATAATTCTCAAAAATTAAATAGGCGCGAATCTATAACGTCACAACCGTGTTTCCATACTCTCATCTAAACACACCTATCGACCAATAAGAGCGCGCGTAGTAGCTCAGTTATTTTATTAAGCCTGATATGACACAGATAACTTCTTGCAGAAATTTAATTAGCATCGGACCCACGACTAGTGTTACGTTGTTGTTCAGTGTTGTTGTTGTTTTGCCGTTTAGAAAAGGGACGAATTTTATACTGTTTAGTTAAAAACCTATAATTGCATTGTAGATACAAAATATCCATAAAACTTCCTAAATTTCAGCTTCGATATGGCTTATAAAATATATTCTTAATTTATATATCTTTAAAAAAGTGTATTATTTTTGAGGCATTTTTGTCGCATCCGCCTTTTTTTTTTTCTTTCACTCATATTGAACATTTCGCATGAGAATCCACCGCTAAGAACTGATTTTCTCCATAAAAAGAAATAATCAATATTGTGAAAGTCAAGAAGATACATTTATGTGTGGTTTAGGCAAAACCAGTACTTCATCAAACTACTTCTCCTAGACACATCTCAATGAATGACGTCCCCAAATACCTGGACAAAAATTGCGTCAAACAGCGAACAAGATAACTTTTAATTAATCAAAAATTGCCCAGTTTATGCATCTCTCACTGGCTCGGGGCTAGTGCATCCTTTGCAGGAAGTGAATATTGAGAAAGTTAGTGTGCGAGAAAACAGTGACATTGAGATTTGTGGCGTGACTTCGTTGTTTATTAACAGCGTATGACAGCTGATTGGAAAAAAAATATGGTCGGTTCAAAGGGTCGTTTTATGTAATATTGTGGGTCCACATGTCGACACATCGGATTAATTTAGTTCACACTATAGTTGTAATAATAGAATAATCAAGATGCTCGCCGAATAATAAGGAGATCAGACTTAAGCAACGACAACGACGACGTCGAGGACGACACCTAGTCGAGAATTAAATGCTCAGGCTAAATATGCAATGACAGCGTTCAATTCCAAATGGAAATACGAAAAATTAGCCGTCACCGGTCGCGTAACTCAGACTACGCAGAATTTGGTCATATCGTGTTGTTGTTTTGCAGAGGACGCCAGCGAAATGTACAAAGAAGTATAACGCGCGTGCAGCCATTGTTTTGCTCATTACATCTTGTGTTTAATTTGGTTGTGTTCTCGTTGCCGTCGTTGCCATCGTCGTCGTGGTTTGCTTAAGCTCCCTAATGTTGGACATGAAACCTCGTGCGTCGCCATGAGATTCACAGTAATTTCGAAAACGTTTTTCAGCGCATTCAAAAACCCAGACAAACCAGAAGTTGGTCACAGTGAAGTTCAGAGTCTTCAAACTTCTTCCCCTTGGATGAAAGCGAAAAATTACACATTTATTACTATTATTTTTCTTTTTAAAAAATAGTGACTTTGAAGAAAGCCTTAATGGCGACTAGCTGAATTAAAGTAAATCACAGGTCGAATTCATCGTGTCCGAAATAAAGAAAAGGTTGAATATCTGTGCAATCTCTTCACAATATAAGCTTATTGAAAGCCGTGCAATGACCATTCTCGCAACTAATAGCGCGTACATATTTAAGATTGCTGTGGATATTACCGCTTTATAAAATTGTTATTTTCGAAATTGAATCACGTACTAATAGTTCCTCTTACCTTGAGCCTTCCTACAGGTGCAAAGGAGCGAGAAAATAAGCTGGAAGGGCTTTTTGTGAAATTAATACGGTATTCCTCACATGCCGCAACACATTGACGAGACAACACATGAGCAGTGATTGACAGGAGACTGGGATGAGGTCAATAGGCTAATACCCCACAGTGCACCTTTGGCGTAGAAGGAGTGCGTTCAGCGGAAACCCCCATGAGTAAGGAAATCCAACATGGCGGCTTCTTTTAGAAAGGTGCGCTACGGCTGTTTTTTTCGCCATTTCAACGATTCTGGACGACGTTTATGGCACGGATTTGTCGCAAGAAACACGCTGAGAACTAGTGCCTTCCATTCATATTCCAAATCTTTACCACTCATGGCGAAAAAGTGGAATGATTCGGGACCAACTCGTGGTTTGGCTAAACCTCGACCACTCGCTCATTCATTTCGTGGGGATAGAATAGGTTCAACGTCACATTCTAAGGACAGTAGGTATAGAAGAGAAGAGACAGAGCTCGATTCCGACACAGAGACAGAAAGTGAGGACGAAGAAGACTTGAGCGGTAAATCTTGGAAATCAAAAAAGGGATCTGGGAAGTCTAGGAAGTTCAAAAGTCAGAAATCTGTTGGAAATGTCACTTTGAGTCCTTCCAGATATCTGTTTAAAGACTTTCTACCGGGGCACGGGGAAGTAAAGCGATGGGAACGAAGGTATGCTTCAGAGCACAGAAAAGGAAAAGTGAATTGGTATGCGAGGCAAATGCTACGCCTTACTCAAGAGGGCAAGGTGAGGAAGAGTGTCATAAACCTCTACACCTCACAGTTATTTATCACATAGCGTTATTTTGTTTGCCCTGAGGGACTAGCACTAACAGAATTGAAAAAAAATGTTTTAATATCAGCATACCCAGGACTGTTCTCCAAGCCCCAAACAAATGTGGAGAAAATCCCAACTTGAAGGGGGCAGACAAGTTGGTTCTTTACAAACATGGCTACAGAGCTGAACTACCACAGATAATGGTCATAATGGGAGTTGAAGCTGCGAGGTCTATATTTTACTCCCAGCACACTTAACACTTGGCCACGCACACAGTCACAACAATAGCATAAGACTGACAATTTCTCCAGTATTCAGTCTGTTAAGCAATGTGCAGCATACATGAAGTATTAGTGTTAACCCCGAGAAAGGTCACTGAAAGTACCAGGGTGGAAGCTAGAATTTTTTGAAGAAAGGATGAAACTACATGTATACTCAGTCTCTGTTTTTTCAATATCCCCTGCCCCCCGCCTGTTTATTGGACAAATAGAGATTTGAAATATTACATATTTTATTCTACATGTTATCAGATTGATGAAGCCCTTAATCTCTTAGCATCTATGAAAGCAAACAAACTTCATCCTCCTGTAGAGGTTTACAACATCTTCATTTCTGCATATGCCAAGAGAGGTCAAGTCAGGAAAGCTTTTAAGATTTTCAATGACGTAAGTAATCATTTAATATATAAGCAATGGAGCACTTTTTCCATGTTTACATACTAAGCCTCATCTAAACAAGAGGAGGGTTGGGAGAATTCAAGACAGTTGACCTGCATATTAACTTTCAAGAATTCTCCCAGTCCTGTAAGTGTTTAGATGAGGCTATGTAAACACAGAAAAAGTGCTCTATAGACCCTTTGCATACATGGTGCCTATATTTGAGTAACAATACTTATACACCCTTAGCCTCACATTCATGTAAAAAAATCCTTTGTCTTGAAACATTAGTATGAGGCTAGGGATGTATAAACTATTGTTATTCAAATTTAGACACCATTTATGCAAAGGATCTATTACTGCCACAAAATAATTCTCAAAAATATGCATGAACCTAAAATGTCACAACTGCGTGTCCATACTCTTATCTAAAAACACCTATCGACCAATGAGGGTGCAGGTAGTAACTCATTATTTTAAAGATAAGTGTTGTATTATGTTTTAGTATGGCTGATTACGTATCCTGAGAGAATGGCTCCGGTATTTAAAGTACATTGTGCTTCTGAGTGTTTCAGTGCCAATGTAGAAATTTATAAATGGTTTTCAGTTGGTTTTTGGTTTATTAATAAAATTTCAATTTTAACTTTGTGTTAGTTGGGTATATTTACTAATTAAGAACAATAAAGTGTAAAAAAAGAACCATTTTCTTAAGTCAATATTTTTTTAATGGATAATTTTATAGATTGTAACCAAGCAAAGTAATTTTGGCTTTAAGTAAAAATATCACTGAAAATGAATGTTTTCTTATTGTTCAGGTGAAGAAGAGAGGCCTGACACCTACAGCTCACACCTTCTCCAGCTTGTTCAGTGCTTGTACGAAGGCGTCAACTCCACAGCATGCTTTACGCCATGTAGAAAAGCTTCTGGCTGAAATCAGAAAAAGGACTGCAAACCAGGACTTAGAAATGAATGTCATCACTTATAATGCCGCTATCCAGGCTTTAGTTATTTGTGGTGACCCCCTCCATGCATTTGACATCTACCAAGAAATGCAGGACAACAATGTTGAACCAGATGGCCACACCTTTTCGTCATTATTGGCTGCCTGCTCGTTTGATAAAGTTGAAGGACCTAGCACAGCTTTTAAACTTCTTGAAGAAATGAAATCTCTTCAGATACAACCAGATATTTATATTTTCAACTCAGTGTTAAAGGTGATGAGAGATTTTAAAGTTTCTACTGAGGAGAAAAGGTCACAATTGTTTAAGTCTATGCCAAGTGCTGATGTTACAGAAGAAAGTTCATGTGTGCATGATCCAATGTATCCTCTTGATGAAGAAACATCAGAAGGTGAAAGTAGCGAACTGCATTCTGAAGAAAGTGTTTTACAAGAAGGGCACAACAATGACAATGATTTACAGTTGCACCATTACTTTCCCGGTGTAGAAGAGTTTGTTCAGATGATGGCTGTTGAAAATGTGTCTCCTGATGTACGGACCTTTCACCTGCTTCTTTACATGACGTCATCAAAAGAAGAAGAAGATTACTTGATGGAGCTGATGAAAAGCTGTAACATCTCTCCTGATGCTACTTTCTATAACACTCTTATCAAGAAGAAAGCAGCAAAGGAGGGTGTAGAGGAGGCAAAGGTATCAAAGAAATGCATGTATCTGATTGTAATAGAATTGAACATCTGAGTAGTGAAAAAACAATGTTATACTGTCTCTTGTTTAGTATGTAATTATATATCAAATACGAGTGAAAGTGTTTCATCAGGATATCCAAACACTGAGAAGAGAGTTGAAAATGACGACGCGCAGCAGGGTATTTTTGACACAATTCGAGGTGTTTGGATAGCCGGTGAAACACTGTCTTGAGTGTTATATATGTCTTCTCAATCGAAACAAAAGCTGAAGGAGTACACGGAGAAGTAAAATCTTCAAAATCTATGCTAATTAAGACCAGACATCCAAACCTCCACGTTTGTGATTTTCTTTGTTTTAACTTGATGAATTGTTAATGTGTTTGGGAAGTTCATTTGACTACCTCTTGACGTAGGTGTGCGGCCTATGTACATGTAGTAATTACATGAAATATCCTCCAAGTGCTAGCCCAATTTGGGCTTACATCGAGTGCTAATTAAAACAGATCATTTCTCTTCCTCATTACTTTCCTATCCTCTGCAAAATGCAATGCAGTGTGTTTCAAAATTAATTAGAGTTCTGTGTTATGTACAGTTGCTTGCACATCTATTTCAGATAGTTAGAAATATTGCATTATGGTTAGTACTATTAACAGCAACGTGAAAGTCCTAGACAGGCTAAGGAGCTAGTACAGTGTTTTCTGCTTTACGCTACAAAGTAAAAACTTAGTATACTCAACTCTCGGCACAATCATATAGGAACAGAGAGACAAATCACATGTTGTGATCACCTTGAATTAGCCACACTTTCTTTAATTTATTGATTTGAGTCTATATATAAATTATACAGGTACTGTATGCACTTTCAACTGCATATAATCTCATTTTTTTCCCCGAATTTCCAGGTTTACATGCAGGAATTGAAAGAAACATTGAAGATTTCCCCATCTGAAAAATCGTACCATGCCTTGGCACATGTCTGCAAACGCCAAAAGCAAGGACTTGCTCTGCTTGATGAAATGAAGGTGTGAAATGGTTCAACCTTGCAAATATTAAAGAAAATAAGTTGCCCTGTACAAGCTTTGGTCCTGAGGGTTGCAATATGCATGAGTTCTTGAGTTCTTAAGATCACAACCTTACTTCATATCTGGCAAGGTGCAAAGTCAAGCCATTCAAATCTAAAGACAGTGTATCATCCCTTCTTCATTGACTGTATGATTGAAAACTGCAGCAGCTTTTTTTGTGTTGTCAGTTGAAAAACCACAGCAATATTATAATTTAGTTTAAGTATTAAAAAATATTACTGTGGGTGTTATGATTTGTGAACCATTTTCTATGATTTGTGAATCTGTAGTATAGGTGTTGGCCATGGCATTTTAGTGTTTGCCAACTGTGCCATTTTATGTTGGAAATTCATGACTTGTATACGATGATATCATGAACATGTCTTTTTCTCTTTGTTGCTGTTTATGATTTGCTATAGTCTGAGGGAATTGCTGCAGACCAATCTGTGTATGGAATACTGATTTCTGGAGCAGCTAAAGACAGACAGTTTTCTTACCTCATCCAGTTGATCAAGGTTTGTCTAAACTGCCTTGCACAGCTGGTAGTTTTCTCTGTACAATGACAAGAAAACCACCAGTTGTGCAAGCTGAGACCTTCATGTACAGTCTGCAACAATTACAGAGTTGAGACATCTAAATTTGTAAGATTCCTTTTCCATTGTTTTCATTGTTTTCGTGACAAGTTTTCCCCCTCCATCAAAATCAATGTTGATATGCAGTACTCTAGACTATGAGCAGTCCCTCTCTCCCTTAGTCCGTCGAGCGAGACTGTAAATAAACTGCGAGGAAAAAAGCGGCTACATGAAATCCCTGGGGCAAGATGCGTGCTTCTCGCCCCCTGTACTTCTCATAGCCATTTTTTTCTAGCGGTTTTCTTTTGCATCTTTTGGACTACTCATAGTCTAGTAGGACTCAGATTCGGTTGAAAACGTTCAGAGTTGGAAGAATGGGACTGCCCGTGAAATTGATAATAATGACGAATTCCAAATTATTTTGTTATAATTTGACAATGCGATCTGTTGAAAACATCTTAACTACTTTTTACTGACGATTGCATGTCATACAACCCAAAGTACCAACTGAAATTTATTTTATTTACCTTGTGCAAAGTTGCTTTGAGAAGAGTTACGTATTATCCTGTTGGATATTTTAATCACTGGAATGGATAAACAGTCGACTCCCGATAACACGAACCTTCAGGGAAATAGTAAACGGTTCGACTTATCGGAAGTTCGAGTTATTAAGAGGGTAAAATTCTTCAGAAAATGGCCTGAAGGGAAATGAAAATTACTTCGAGTTAGCGAGGGTTCGAGTTATCGGGAGTCAACTGTATAACTGTTACTATATCCATGTTCTGACGTAAATGATATTTAGGTAGGTGGGTAGGTTCATGCACTACAGACTGTACCTACCTGCCTGTCTCTTGTTAACTATTCTGTTGATTTATTTATTTATTTTCCATTCTCATCACCAGAGGACGACAGATGATGATGTCCAGCCTAATCAAAGGATGATGGAAGTGCTTGAGCGGGCTTACAGTTTACCCTGTAACAAACCTGTTCTTGCGGTAAGCAGTTGTCAGTTAGTTAACTCGCTATCAGCTTCTGAATCTAACAACCTTTCGCAACAGTACTTTGCATTGTGAGTCACAATTGATAGTTACAGCTCAGTTCAGTTTGTTGTTAGTAGCTCCCCCTAGAACCCACTCCCCTCCCATCCCTTACTCTAATCAAGATTGTTGTCATTTATTATTTCCCTGTCTTTAGAGAACGATGGATGACCATTTGGTGAAACTGAAGAAATTCCGGTTTGTAGAACAGCGAGGGTTCCAAACCTTCTTTGAAAACTGGAAAGCGAAAATACTGGTAAGAGAGACTGCGATGAGAGAGACTGGAAAGAGTCCCCACATTGAACAGTATGATAAAGACACTGTTGAGGAGACAAGAGATGACGTCAGTGATGACGAAACTAGCGATGATGACGAAGACTCTAAATTTAGCCATCTCTGAAGCGTAGGTTTTTTTGAAACAAGAGAGTTTTCGTCACGAAGACAACATAATAACGTATGTTATTATATGGCCAGCTCCGTGAGCGGGCAAGATGAATCAAATCCTGCGTTGTGATTGGCTACCCGAGCGGGCAAGATGGANATGGACCTCGACTCCGTCTCGGTCCATAAACACGCAAAAAAAGAACTTGGCCAATATTCAGCCATCTTGACCTCACACTTGGTCAATAACCCATACACAATATGAATGAGCATAACAAAAACTGCGAAAGGATATTTGGAGGCTTGCTAACAGCGTTAACTCCATTATGTGTGAGGAGAGTGTTATATAAACCATCACCCATAATTCCTCACCCTCCGGCGTCCTGAACAGAGATAGGTGAAAGCAAAATTCATTTCTTGCTAGGTGTCTCTTGGTGTTGCCATGGTAATTGCCTTACCCTAACTGATCTTCAAGCCGCGCCAGCAACGTGAGATTCGACCAATCATATTTCAGAAGCCTCTTCCCTGGGTACCAGTTTTTTTCCTCTTGAATGCCTCCGGCCAGGGTCCCATTTCCAGAAAGTCCCGGTAGCTTAACGGACCCGAAGCCATATTTTAAGATCTTAATCTAAGAAACAGAAGTGCGGGTTTTAACTCAAAAACCAGTCCATTGAGTTCCATTTCCTGATATTTTGATTGTTTGAATATCAAAACCATTTAATATCTCGATCTTGAATGTAAACGCACCGAAAAAAGAAACAGCTTTTCGGGACCGGTAACTACAGGGACTTTCGAAAACGGGTGCCCAAGACCTGAAACCAGGCAAGAATAGCCTTTGGCACCCAACAAAAGTTGGGAAAGAATTAAATACATGAAAAGAGGTGTCTTGCTAACGCATATACGACGCCCTCGCGATATCAGCCCAAGACTAGCTTGATTCCAACAATCCACTTAACTTTCCCAAAACTCACTTTATTCAAGTATTAATGGGATGATCCATAATCCATGTGCGAAATATTTAAAAGAAATACATTCATATGTTTAAAAGTGATAAAATACATTTACAAGGCATTCACTTAAATTTTGTTTACACATGGTAACATTTCAATAACTTCCATATAAAATCAGGGTAAAAAAGCAATGTCGCAAGAAGACTATCTAAAATAAACAATACTTGGATATAAAACTCGTAAAATTTAAGAATTGTTCTGTAAAAATCCATTGACTATTAAGAGTAGGCCATTTTCGAATCATCACTGATTAGATTGCCCGAAAGAATAGCCAGATTACACTGCTTTAGTACCAGTAATAATCGTGACCAAACGTACATAAATATAAATTGAGCATGAACGACGTAAGCCTGAACGCTGCGGCAAGCATCTCGTGACGCGTCACACAACGCTAAGATGTCACGTCACCATTAACCTCGATAACGGCCACACTGCCAACACATATATGAATCATTCATTTTTCCATTATATCTCCTAGCTACATACAAAAATATTTACTTATAAAATCCTGTGAGGTATATACTTTAATATACTAAATGTATGTTAAATTCAGGCAATTTCTGTGCCATTTGTTTATTTATTTATATCAACAACCTCATACTCTGAATTTCTGGGAGTTCGAACCCAAGTTTAGGCTCGATTTTGGGAGTTCGGTTGTTTATCCTGGTGTTGGGCAAGGAACGCGGGCTCACAAAACGGCTGGAAATCGAGCCTAACCCAAGTAAGACTGGGCCGAAAGCTTGCATTCAAACGGTTCACCCGCCTCATTTTCATAATCTACGAAATTTGAAGTCTTTTACAATACTACAATCTCAAATCATGTCTGAATCCACTCAGCAATTTGATAACCCTTTGTTCGACATACACTAGAGTACACAATACCCAAATTTTCTTGGGTCGGTAAATTTTCTCTTATTTCAACGGAATTCGCAAAAATATGTCATTTCATATCTATCTTACACCTGCATTTTCTGCTAGAAATAGCATTGTACTCTCCTTTGTTTGATTCCAATGTAGCACAGTCTAGACAAGCATACATTACTTGCAAAAAATTTTGGACGATTATAATTGTGGACAGAAAAGTATCCGAAACTAAAACCGTCCGAAATTTGTAAGCGTCCGAAATATTTACAATACAGCATAAAACTTTTAAATAGCTTCAAAACAGTTTCCTTTATGGAGCGAGCTCTAGTTGAGACACTTGCAGAGATATATTACGGCTTGACAGAATTTTTCTTATTTTCCGTCAGTGTATCTGTAAAACTTGAGCGTGCAGTCGTCTTTATAAATGCTATTTCTATTAAATGCTAATTAATTAAATGTTAATTTGTGTTTTGTAGGCGTAAATTTACGCTGGTTAGGTTTCAGCAAAGTGTCCGAAATTCTAACGTCCGAAGGTTTTTTTTTTCTTTTTGCAAGTAATGTAGTCAACATAGAGGGATACAAGTCGCAGTTTTGGTACATATATACTTGGCATTTCGTGCTTCGAGTCCTGATTGAACAGTCTAGTTTTGAGAAAGGCAAGACAAGACCGTTAAATAAAATGACCAAAGACTCATCCGCACAGTTACCCCTCATGGTAGCTCACTCCGAGGAATTAATATTTGCAAATACAAGCAGAAAGGAGTTGAAAACTAAACTAAGGGTTGTGGTGTTCTGCTGTAAATATCTTACTTCCGAGTTTAGAACAGAGTACTTTTTTATCGTCAGTATGTCTGTGAAGTTGAATTCACCCAATTTCTCAGTCATGCCTGAGGTCAATACCTGGAATAGATAGCGAGGCCAGCGAAAAATTTCCTCATATACCGTAACAGCGTCCCAGGTCATACCAGCGGCTGTCCTAAGCTTTTCGCGTATAAGAATCAGCCTACACACGACGCAGATGAGAAGTCTTTTCATTTAAACAGTTTTGGTTAACTCAAAACTGTACTCGTCATGTCTTAGTCTTTTACTCACGTACAAAAGATTGTTAAACGTTTGAGAAAATAGCCAGGACGACAGTTAGGTATGTTGGTTATGACTGAACGAAATTTGGAAGTTTCTTTTTTGGAGAAATGTTTACACAACAGGGACGTCTAAAATAACGCGGCATTGCTTCTTCGAAGGGACTGTGTCACGGCTGAGTTTAGTCAAATACTCGCAAATACTCACCCTGAATCATAAAATGTTAGTGAAGAAACTAAATGACAAAACCACAGCTACAATACAAACAACTATGTCTCCAGGGCGGTTTAATTAAAGGTGAGAAAACAAACGAGATTAACTTTGAAAACTGTTCAGCTTAGCGTTTTTTTCAAAAACCCATATCGCAATCCGTTTCAATCTTATTCAAATTTTGTGCATCCGTATCTCCTTTGGTATTGGTTGTGTTTACGAAATGTTCCTTCACTCTTTCAAGTGGTTATTTTTTATATTTGACTTAATTTGGTGGTCATTTTCTTATGTCTCAATTTGGCTAAGATCCGTGACACAGTGCCTTTAAGATGCAGTCAATTCATAAGCCTCCATCACATACTGTTTCGGTACCAGGCCCACACTGTACCCTTGAGGTTTGAACAAGGAACCGATCCACCAATCAGGATGCGGCTTTTCGTAAATGTAAATGAGATCACCGCGTCGGAATCCCAGTTCGTCCTTGTCACCAGCGTCACAATTCCACAAGGCTTGGTAAATGTTGGCGTAATTTATTTCGTTAGTTTGATTTTCTGAGGGACTCTGCGGTGGTTCGTCTTTTCGTTGAGGTGGAGGCGGAAGTTGAGGCTTGGCACCAGGCCTAGCAGGTCGCTCCGGAATTTTCTCATCTGCAAAAGCCAGAGAAATAAAAATTGACGTACGAATATATACCCGCATGGTTACGGACCCTTTTTTATGTTGAATTTCTGAGAGACAAAAGCTACAACCAGAATGGAACTACGTCACGGTTTGCGCATATTGAAACACGTAGACTGAATTTTTCAAGTTCATCGTTTGTAATCCGTGTCAATCTTCTTCATCCTTAACCATCCTTGTTCCTTTATGGTTTATTATTACCTCTTTGGTGTTTTTCTATCTTAGTAAACTACTATTTTCAGGTTTCTTTCAAGTTAAGGTAATTTTGTACGCGGCCAAAATAACTCAAAATACCGTGACTGAGCTCCTTTAACAAATGGAACATGTAGTAATGCGATTCACTAAGAGATTTACGTTCAAGAGTGACGGCAAAATGTCGCGATGACACGCTCTCGAATTACCAGCCTATGATTGGTTCAGAACTGTAACTGACACGATAGCACTTTATTAGGTTTCTAACGTACATATGATACGTCGAATACAACTAATACTTTGTTTTACGTGATGCTTCGCCGATGATTTTGTACTAAGCCTGGTAAATGTCACGCAACGACAACATCACGTAACGATATCATAATATCGTAACCTGCAAATGAAAATATAACTTACGAGTCTCTTTTTGTGAAACATCTGGTGACGGCTTTGGGGTCGGTGGTTGAGGTATTCTGGGAGGTCGCACGGGGGCTGGTGCTTGTGGTGGCGATTCGCCCGATATTTCGTAATTTTCCTCTTCTCTCAGCGGCGCTGGTGGTTGTGGTAATTCTGAGGAGGTAACCTCAGGACTATCGGCAATTTCGTACAATTCATCTTGTTGCGGTGCGGCCGGGGACGCTGGCTGAGCTTTGGAAGGCCGTGGAGGTGGTAAGTCAGGGGGGATGTTTTCCCTTGGTGATTGGGGTTGTGATTTAGTAGGTCGTGGGGGAGGTGGCGCGGGACTGGTTTGTTCCGGAAGCTCGTAGTCTTCTTGTATTGGTTCAACTGGTGAAGGCTCAGCTGAAAAAAAAAAGTTTAGATACTGTTACATAAATAAACGAAGTCAAACCAATTAAATAAACCTCATATACGTCTGGCTTCCTGGCTTCCGTTGACAGCCGTGATCTGAGTAGCTACGAAACAGAAAGAGACACGTTGCATGACGGGAAAGGAATCGATACACACACAAGGGAGCAGACGGGTTCTGTGACGTAACGGCAATCCAAACACAGTTACTATAGCGCGACGGGTTTGAGCGACCGATCAATTCTATCCTAGTGACTGTCGTTTGATACATTTACGTGTGAAGTCTCTGACTCGCTGGTTGTTACTCGGTTACGAACTTTGACGTACGTCACAACCTCGTTCCCGGTTTCCTCTCCTTCCCGGACCATGGGAACGAGGTTGGACAAATCAAAACTGCTACGTGATCAACGGGACAGTGTTCAGGGTAGCCTCCTGCGCAGACCCTCTTTGGGATTGCGTGACGAGCCCAAAGAATGTCTGCGAAGGAGGGTATGTTCAAGAGAAATCTCAGAGGGCTTTACAGCCGTGACGAGGGGGGCGGGGGAAGTTAGAAAATTGCAAACAGCCAACCATACTAACCAGGAGCAGAAGCTGGCGTCGAGGAGACTGCAGCGGCAGAAATCTCATAATCAACATCCTGCCTCGGTGGTTGCGACTGCTGGTTAGAGGCAGCGGACTGGGTAGCAATGCCGACTACTTCATATAAATCTTCATTAGTGTCATCATAGGCATCGTCACCATTGGACTCGTCCGCTACCTCGTTCTTGGCTTGTCCTGTGTCATCGTAATGCAAGCTGTCCTCGTCACCTGATGGCTGTTTGTTGTTGCGGAGTTCAGCTAACAAAGCAGTTTGATCCTCTGACAAGGGAGCGTCGCAAGCGGCATTTATGGCTTTTATCCACTTTTCTGTTTCTTCTTTAGAGGTGCCCTCGAACTAAAAGAAAATTGTGAAACCAAAATACGTTGTGAATATTTCATCAACCAATGCATTGACTGCGCAGTTATCTCAACATGATTTTGAGTGCAATTTGGAAAAAATAAGCACGAGTAAATATTTCAAAAATTAACAACTGCTCATATATTCCAAATTGCACGAGAATAATTGTGATTACTTGTCAATAATACACTTAAAAACACACAATTTCAGTTCTTTGTCTACACATTGTTTCCTTAGGCAGGCTGCAGTGTGCTTGGTATTCCAAATATCTTCAAACATTAATGAAAATACTTGCAAAGCTCCCAACAATGTTCGAAAACTTCGGAAAGCTTCGGGTGATCTTAACTAATCTTCGGCAATCTTCGGAAAGTTTCGGGTGATTGACGGAGGTATTCGAAAATGTTTGGGTTTGGGTGATCTTCTGAAGTGCTCGGAAAACGTCTAATTACCTTCGGCTATCTTCGGAAGATTTCGGGTGAACTCTGACCACCTTTGAAATACCTCACGACCGTGGGTAGTCCTCGATATCTTCATACTAGTTACGGAAATCTTTGTTGTAATTTGCATGCTCTGGTGTTACATGAAAAATGCACTCCTCTTTAGTCAGTCAGAATCAAGTTATTTTTTCAAGTGTATTATTACAATAATCATCTAGGAAATAAGCTCGAGTTACCTTCTATAAGCAAAGGGTCAACAAAGCAGATTAATGTAGACGAATGCTTGTAGAGCTTGGCATGACAACTTACATGTACAGTATGTAAACATTTTGAGGTTGAGGGCAGATCTCTCTCTCTTAAACCAACAACGACCTTTAAAAAATGAGTCAGCGTACAATAGCGTGTAATGCATGCGTTTAAAACTTTTAACAGAACCCGGAAACCCTTGAGACTACATAAAATGTCCACCTAAAGGAGATCTCCACATAGCATGCAGCTGGAGGTGAGGGGAGGGTTTAAAAATGAGCTGTCTGCATACGGCTAGCAGCATTACACTGACTTGTCCTACAGGAGCTGTCCATTTGACTTTACAAGCGCGTACCTGATATGCCCTAATTTCAAGGTGTGAATGTGTCAGGCTGAACTCGCGCCCTTTCCTGTTAGCCACTTGTGCTTTGTAACCCGGCAGCAGAATTTGGCCTGCTTGCTCTTTCGCTTTCTTATCCTTGAAGTAGTAGAGTACATGGTTCCGCACCACGCAGTAACGTTTCTGCCACTTACTTCCCACATATATTTTGCCTTCCTTGCGGAGTTTCTTCAAGAAACCTTAGGAAACAATTGCAAGTTCACACTATAAAATCATAACTTCTGAATATAAACCCCTCTGCAGGATTGTATAACCCTTTAATACAAATACGTCCGTCTAAACCAAATTTCAGCAAGACCTTCTGATAATACCATCGCCCAGCCCATAAGTGCTAAAAGAACAAATGAATATAATTTCTTGTTTATAAGCCCCCTTTGTAAAACTTGACAGTGCTTTTACCAAGGAGGGGGGGTACTCCCTTATATGGGCTCTGTGTGGCCCCAAAAGATACGATTATTCAGCCGTTTTGGTCATAAATAGGGGATGGTTTTTGCACTCTAGTCTTGAATTGGGTATATTTTTTAAGAAGGTACTGATACTTTTTCATCATTGTCGATTTAAGACCATCAACAAAATCCCTTCACAAATTATGTTTACGGCAATTTAACATTGGTCTGACCAAGCGAACTAATTCTAAAGCAGGTCTGAAACAGGGTATTGATTTAAGGGTTACATCATAAATAGGGTATCAAATTTTTGGTAAGGTCATAAATAGGGTAGGGAAAATCGCAGATTCTGGTAGGGTAAAGGTTTTGGGTAGTGGGCTGCATACCCCCACCCAATTGTTTTGAAAGTACTCACCCCAGGGCTTTTACTGCCATATGTTAAAGTACAAAAGGAGACCTATGATTACAGACTCTTTTCTAGTGTATGTTAATATCCGTATATTTATTTGGAAAATCATTTGCCTTTTCATTTTCTTTCACTTGTCATGGTGATTAACCTGTTTAACAGCTTGTTCACTGACAAATATGTAGCTATGAGCCTTTAAGAGAATAATAAATTTTGGTATATATCTCGATATTATCACACAAATGAATAAGTGCTTTCATGCATTCTGATTGGTTACCTTGGAGGAAGCAAAGTACTATTTGCCTCCATGCAGAAATTTTGAAATTTCCAACCATTTGTTGGTTTATTGTTAGAAATAGACTTAGTTAAGTAACGATTTGGTATACTAATTATCAAACTTGTGTGGTATACAATGTACACTAATTAAAAACAATTATTCCCTCAGTGTCGATGAAAGTGGTAGATATTGGGCGTGTTCCACTCTACCAAAATTACTGGAAATTCCGGTTCAAAATCGAATGAGACAGAAAGTTTCTGGAAACTCATTTCAAAACTTTTGGTCAACCTCTTGAGGTTGTCCCTTTTTGGAAATTTGGAAATTCTGGAAGTTTTCTGCTCCATTTGGCCTTTCTAACCGGTATAAATTGGCCCTAGTTCCTCTAGCCCTGAATATTGCCTCGACCAAAGCTACAAGATGGCGACCAGTCGACACTACACTGGATGCAAAACGATCTGCCACAGTTCAAGCTTTTATTGATTGCCTATCCTCCACAAAAACGTTAGGATCCACTTTTCTGGAAAATTTTGGACTAGTCATTCCTAATTTCCTGTGGGTATTTGCCTGGTTTGCATGATCTCCCGCGAGAAAAGTTCGCCAGTGTCCTATGACACTAAAATAATTCTTGAGTCGGTCTGGTAAATATCCCAGAAGTCTGAAGAGTGATGTGAATGCATGTTAAATTTCTCTGCATGGAGCTTACAGCTCTTAAGACAGCCACTTCATTATTATCCTTCAGCATTTTGTTGAGTAAATCTTGGTGGGAAATGAGCTCAAGCAGGAATAGAACGAGATCGGTCTGGCCTGGTAAAAAATAATGTTCCATTTGACATACAAAAATTTTGGTAATTCAAACCGGAATTTTTGGTCCAATGGAACACACCCATTCACCTCCACTTCTGTGAGTAATATTGTAACAAGTTAAATATACTCATGAATAAATGAGGCTGCAGATAAAATACAGTGAGTTTAACTTCATAAATTTATCTAACATGTCAAAATTGGGTTCTTAACTTCACACCCTTGAGTGACCATAAAAATGTATGAAAGTATGAAGTACAGTACTAACAAGTCAAATATAGTCAGTTATATAGTTACTGTTAACAAAAATCTGCTTAACATGTACCTTCACAAATGATGCCCTCAATATTCTCAGGTTTAATTTTCTTCATGTAATGATCCAAGTTGGCCGAGCCTGACCTTTCCTTTGCTGTCATATGAGGACCATCAACGGAGCCTTCTCCCATGCCTGGCTCAACCCCTTCATACATACTATCAGTTTCCACAGGAGCAGTTTTTGATGGAGTAGACTTGTCTGNCCAAGATTCTCAGAAATACATTATTTTCATTATTTCTCAGAAATACATTATTATTTCACCCTGTGAAAGCCAGCATAGGCTACGTGGATGCCCTACCAACAGACTGCAGACAAAGTTCACAATTCTTTACATCACCAGTGTACCATTTCTTTAACAAATTATTGTATTGTGTTATAATTATGAGGTTTTTTTTTTCACAGTGCATTGCTGGCATCATATTTTCTACAAGAGAAACAGAATCTTCATGGTAAAATTGGCTGTCTGCTATCAATCATTGGCTCAACAGTGCTTGTCATTCATGCACCACAGGAAGAGGAAGTGAAGCGCATGGATGACTTAGAGCCAAAGCTTACATCACCAGGTATTTGATAGAAACTGAGTCAATAAGATGTAACACAAACAAGTTAGGTCAAACAAGATCTGTAGTTACATTTAGATTGAGTGCAGCTCGGGTTCGATGCTGATCCGGTGCCATATGTTTGTTTAGTTTGTTGTTGGTTCTTGCCTGGCTCTGAGGGTTCTTCTCTGGGTTCTCTGGTTTTCCTCCTTCTACAAAAACCAACACTCCAAATTCTAATTTGACTAGGACAGAGGACCTGCAGGAAAACCAGCAAAGGTTGATGTGGCTTCCTCTCTAAATATTGAAAGTTACATGTATTTTAAGTCTAGTGCACCTAACACGAAGCCTTGGAGCTGATGGCTCATAGCTGCCGGAGCTCATCCCGGTTTCTGTAGCATGAAGCAGCTGGGAGTATTTCTACTCCTCCTGGACGGGATGCTAGTTCATCGCAGGTCACTCCCCCGCAATTTATTAGGTTTCCCCAACAATTTGCCAGTACCCATTTATACTCCTGGGTGGAGAGAGGCACTGTGAGAGTTAAGTGTCTTGCCCAAGAACACAACACCGTGTCCCTGGCCAGGGCTCAAACCCGGACTGCTCGCTCCGGGAACGAGCGCACTAACCATGAGGCCACCGTGCCTCCCTGAGCTAAGCTGGGTTGAAAATTATGCTCGTGGCTTCCTCAAAGAGCAGCACAAAGAAAGATGAAACATGACTAATGATAAAGTCACATTACAAAATTAATGTTTGGCAACCATTTTTGATTCTTTATGAGACTTAACAGTGGCTTCAATATCATATAATTAAAAAGGGATCACTTGGTCTATCTGGGACCAGATGAATGGTTAGAAATGACAAGGTGTTTTTATTAAATATAACCAGATAAATGGTGTTACATTTGGATATATAACATTCAGGAATGTGAGATAATCAATAGGAAGCAGGCTCTTAGCCAGATGGGCGTCCAGGCGTCCTGTGGACTGCCACCTATTAAAGAAAATTGTGTTATTTTTCATAAGTTACATTATAAATTGTTCATTTGAACAGGCCCCATAGCACATTTTCGACGCCCACTTTTCAAATCCTGGCTAAAAGCCTGATGGGAAGAATATGACTACTAGGTTCTGTTTGGTCAAGAGTAAAATAGGCAAGCTCAAAGGCTAAATTTTTTTTATGAAATTTCACATTTGATACTAACAGTAATGCAGGCTTCAGGGAATATTTTCAACACAAATATTAGCAAAAGAAATATACAACATTTTAACATTGTTGGATGTCATTGTCAAGTAAATGTGTAGCTTAGTTTTTGCATTATAAAAGGATCTACAATATATTATGCACATAAGGTGGCAAAATATGTTGACTAAGTGACCAGAAAACGTGTGACTGTTAGCTAGGAAACTATGTCGTATATTTCTTTCTCTAATATTTGTGTTGAAGATGCTAACAGTGTCATATGTATCGCTATACTAACTTATTTCTTTTTTCATTCATTTATTTATTTATTTTACAGGCTTTGTGGCTTACGGTTTCATTATCATAATATTTGCACTAGTTCTAGTATTCTATTATGGACCACGATTTGGCAAAACAAATATTCTGGTGTACATTGCAATCTGTTCCCTGATTGGTTCATTGTCTGTAATGGGATGCAAAGGTCTTGGAATAGTGATTAAGCAGACACTCCATGGAGACAGCCAGCTAACGAATCCTGTGGCATGGGGCTTGTTATTCGCTGTATTAGCGTGTGTGATGACACAGATGAACTACCTGAATAAGGCTCTTGACATCTTTAATACATCCTTAGTAACTCCAATCTATTATGTCATGTTCACAACACTGACAATCATTGCTTCAGCAATTTTGTTCCGGGAGTGGGAGGTCATGAACTCTAAAGACACTATAGGTGCAATTTGTGGATTTCTGACGATAGTGTTTGGTGTGTTCTTGCTACACGCATTCAAGGATGTTCACTTCAGTTTAAAGGATGTTCTCAAGTTTTCCTCCCAGGCTAATGGTGCTCCAAAGACGAGAAATCCTGGAAAACAGGCAAACGACGAAACAGAGGCAATGCTTATGCATCGCATCAACAATGCTACTGATGAAGAAGAAGAAGAAGAGTCTGTCACAGTATTTACCAATAATATCAATCATTTATAATATATCACTTCATCTATTTATTAGAATTTCAAATAAATTTATGAATTTGTTCAAAACGGATAGTGTTTCTGTAATTCACCTACACAGAGTGGGTATTAAAATTATTGGAACCTGACTGTATAAAAAAACCTGACTGTACAAAAATATTGCACAATGTTTTCTCAGTAAAACCAACAATTTATTAATATAATTTTTACTATTCTGTATATTAATGATCTTTCAGCTTATGCAGTCAAATATTCTTAAGTCAGCACTTTGTGTGTTGGATTCGCTGGCCAGTGATGAAGTGATTTTTCATTAACACTGTTCAGTGTTCACGCACTGTTTGGGGTTTGTTACTTATTCCAGAACAAGAGTTGTTTCACTTATTATATTTCATAATTTTTGATAGTTACTAATAAGTTCAGTCATAGCAGGGCACCTATGCAACCCACTCTTTGTTGCAGTGAGCAGATGATCAAAAAATCAGCTTCACCTTTGTTGTCAAAGTCAACTTGATATTTAACTGACTGCCAGTTATTTAACCTTAGTTTAGATTTATTACACTGTTGAACTGGTTTTATCATACAGCTGAATTAAGTTTAACACTGGGTTTTGCAGCCACTATATATTGTATTAGTAAAGCATGGGTTGAACTGTGGTTTGTTTAGTCCATGTTAAGACTTGAACTCATCATTTTCATAACCCACTGAACATTAATCAAGTAATCATGCAGTCAAATTCTGTCAGTAACTGAATCCTTAAAGTAGCATTGGTTAAGACCAATGTAATCATTAGACGGCACCAGGAGCTGGTCAATCTTTGAAAGTGTTTTCAACCTCACATTTTCTTGAGGTGTATGTCTTTAATAAAATATTTGTTAGTTTGATTGATCAGTCAGTGGGTTATGTTAAAACAACTGATGGACCAAATTGCGCCTCGCCAATATAATTTTACAGAAACATCAAGCTTGCCATATTGTTAATAATTTCCTTAATAAAGGACCAGTGAATGGTCCTTCAAAAACCACTGAACTTGGAAAATTTTGGTCAAATTCCACAGGTCTCAAAGTCTTGTTTTTTTAGCAGTCATGTGTGTCTTTAGGTCTCAATTTTTTTTCAGAAAGCTGTCTTGGGGTCTCGATTTTTTGCAAAGCAAAGAAAGTCTCAAAGTACGGATTTGTTTGTTTGTGTATAAATAAGTCTTAACATTTGAGAGTCTCAACATCTTGCACTCGCATTAAAACACTTTGAAGTCTTGGTTTCACCATTTAGTTCCAAATGTATTAGGCTTGCAAAGAAAAATGCATCTTGAATTGACCACTTGCCACCTGCTGGCCTATACAGCATAAAATACAGTGTCTGAAAAGCTATTCCTTTTATTCCTTTTTCGACAAAAAAGTAAATAGTAAACCTATTTTCTAATTCAGATGTGGGGAAATTAAAAACAATACACATACATCAAAATGTTTGGTTATAATAATACAGCCAGTTTACGAGCTGTAATGGAAGTTAAGAAAAGCATTACGTATAAGTCAGGAAGCAAAATCCAATGGGATGGTTTGGTAGTCATCACTGTTGCTATGCAACTTGTTGCTAAGTAATATATATCTTCCTTTTTGTATCAGACTGCAGGAGAGGATCCAGGGGAAGGGTGCAGGGGTGTGCACAGCGCCCTGAGATGAAGCCTTCTTTGTATTTGCTTTTAAAATTTGTTTACCTTGCCGGTCAGTTACTCCATTCCTTAGTGGTGCACCCCGTCCTTAGAAAAATCCTGGATCTGCCCCTGGACTGCCATGACTTTCAGTTGAGCAAGTTATTTTGTTAGCTAGTTTGGTGGTCTTTAGGTAAATGGATTTTCATTTGAAGGGGTGCGTGGAAAAAAGCCCCAAGTGACTTTTGATCTCATATTAAATTCTCCTTGTTCACAGAAGGAAGCGAAAAGCAATTTGCAAGGAGAATCTTTTTCCACACACCCCTTCAGTTGTAATAGTCCTTTTCACAGCTAACTTTGCTCATTTGCATTACAATAAAATTTAGCATGTGTGTGAGGCAAATTCACATTGGATTGCATTGTAATTCAAATTAGAAATATTAGCCGTGAAAGAGCTGCTATNAGATGGCGACCAGTCGACACTACACTGGATGCAAAACGATCTGCCACAGTTCAAGCTTTTATTGATTGCCTATCCTCCACAAAAACGTTAGGATCCACTTTTCTGGAAAATTTTGGACTAGTCATTCCGAATTTCCTGTGGGTATTTGCCTGGTTTGCATGATCTCCCGCGAGAAAAGTTCGCCAGTGTCCTATGACACAAAAATAATTCTTGAGTCGGTCTGGTAAATATCCCAGAAGTCTGAAGAGTGATGTGAATGCATGTTAAATTTCTCTGCATGGAGCTTACAGCTCTTAAGACAGCCACTTCATTATTATCCTTCAGCATTTTGTTGAGTAAATCTTGGTGGGAAATGAGCTCAAGCAGGAATAGAACGAGATCGGTCTGGCCTGGTAAAAAATAATGTTCCATTTGACATACAAAAATTTTGGTAATTCAAACCGGAATTTTTGGTCCAATGGAACACACCCATTCACCTCCACTTCTGTGAGTAATATTGTAACAAGTTAAATATACTCATGAATAAATGAGGCTGCAGATAAAATACAGTGAGTTTAACTTCATAAATTTATCTAACATGTCAAAATTGGGTTCTTAACTTCACACCCTTGAGTGACCATAAAAATGTATGAAAGTATGAAGTACAGTACTAACAAGTCAAATATAGTCAGTTATATAGTTACTGTTAACAAAAATCTGCTTAACATGTACCTTCACAAATGATGCCCTCAATATTCTCAGGTTTAATTTTCTTCATGTAATGATCCAAGTTGGCCGAGCCTGACCTTTCCTTTGCTGTCATATGAGGACCATCAACGGAGCCTTCTCCCATGCCTGGCTCAACCCCTTCATACATACTATCAGTTTCCACAGGAGCAGTTTTTGATGGAGTAGACTTGTCTGCCTCTAAAATAAAGAGGAATCGTCTGATGAAAATCAAGTACGCAGAGGCATTATGAAATACCATACAAGTCAGTGTGAAATATATAAAATTACAGTACAACAGGCTGTCAAAGCTGACGCTTAATTCTAGCTATACGTACACTTACAGGTAGCACAACTCCAACCCCTGACCCCAACAGAGATTATTATTACTGTCTTAAAAAGCCTGGCTCACACTTGTGAAGGCACACCCAGACGTATTTGAACAGTACATGAATATGTACATGCAACTCTCCCTGAGATTAAACTTGGGGATTCCAGGAGGAACTGTCGACTGTCAATTGCTTCTCAGATATGATGAAAAGTGCTCAAAATATGTATGACTTTCACCTCCGATCTTCGCTATTAAGGGAGGGGGTAGGAGGTAGGGAGTGGATATTTCAAGCATTTTTCCCACTGAATCAGCAGAGCTCGTTTTGATTTGTGGGGGAGAGGAGGCTGGGACGGNGGGGGGGGGGGGGGGGGGGGGGGGGGGGGGGGGGGGGGGGGGGAAATGTAAAATGCAATGTTAGCAGTCTCCTGGATTTTCTTTCCTTTGGCTGCCATGGCTTTACTGCATCCCAGCTACATATAGGGTTGTCGAATTTCTAAGATTAAAATAGAGTTCAAATGAGCTAACATTTTGGCCACTACGTCTCCCTTGTCAAATGGATTTAGTATTTAGAAATTGCCCTAATCTTTTATTAAATTAATTTAAGATAGTTAACTATTGGAAAGAAAGCTTGCTGTTGCTTGATACCTTCATAGTCTGAATCAGCATCTGGCAGCTCATATTCCTCATCCTGTGATGGAGGAGGTTGTTTATTGCTTTCTGTTATTTCATAATCCTCATCCGCAGTGTTTTCCTGTTGAGGCTCTTCATAATCCTCTTGAACTTCATCCTCCATTGCCATATAGTCCTCACCAGCTGCAGCTTCACCTTGTGACGTCCCATCTGTCTGCTCTGCTGACATCACCTCGTAATTTTCACCCAACGTATCTGTTGCCTGAGGCTGATTCTGATTTCCTTCAGCACCTTGGCCCATCTCACAATAGTTGTCCTGAGGGATCACACCTACATGTATCAAATATAACAACTTAATAACAATTCAACAGGTGCCATCTCTCTTGAAATGCCTAATATCACCCACTCTGAAGGTTAGTCACCTTAAATATTCATACCAGTTATATAAAAAGGTGTGTGGTGTTTAAGATCAGTTCTTAAGATACTTCAATGCAAACACTCAAAACTGAGCAAAGACCAATCCAGGATACTAGTGAATACAGCAGACGTTCTTGTAAGTGGACACCCACTGGACACGAAAAAGCTGTTTGTAACTGGAGCTGGCCACTTGTGAGAATAGTTCTCGTAAGCTGCCACTAGAGTTGTAACAGAAAGATGGCCACCTATGGGAGCTTGCTCAGCTCACAATAAACACTGGGAGTGCAAATTACCGTAAAAACTCGTGTATAAGCCGCACTCGTATATAAGCCGCACCCCCAACTTTCGAGCTTGATTTTGAAAAAAAGAAAACTCTTTAAAAAGTGCTGAGCAAAAGAAAGTGATTACTTGTACATTGTAAGCTTGGTCAAATCTGATGCTGTGTATTTGCTGCGATCTAAATAACTCTTGAAATACCTTTTACAAGCTATTCTTCAATTGAATTTCTGATATCCTCCTAAAGAGAGGCTCTTTTGACAAGATGTTGCCTTTATTGCTAAAGGCGATAGTTGAAAACGATGAAATTCAAACGGAAATCCAAGCAAAACAATCTCTGACCGATCGATGCAAAATGATTGCTTAGTAACCACGCAGTCATTTAAAGAGAGAGTCTGGACACAAGAGAAATACACACGCAATATATGAGCATATTATCGAAAATTTGAATATAAAGTTCCTTGAGAATCAANAAAGGCTCCTTTAGGAGCCACCACTTCTATCAAAAGCAATGATCAACAACAGCAACAGGTTTCAAAATGTTGAATGTTTATTTACTTACGTTTTTAAGTACTATATCTGACCACTAACTGGGCAATTAGCCCCCTCTGAAAGCAATGGTCTCGTATATAAGCCGCACCCGCCATTTTGAGCCCAAAATTTCAGCAAAAAGGTGCGGCTTATACACGAGTTATTACGGTATATACCACCAAATTATTATTTTTTGTTTTTGCCTGGTGCAATGCTGCGGTAATGGTGATAACTGCATGCATAGAGTACTGCCTACAGTGTTTACACTGCAATACCAGCACTGGCCCTTAGTGATTAAAGAACAAACCAATTGCAGCCAGCATTAACATTAATTAGCACCAGTCCCACTGCAACAAAAAGCAGTGATACAGTTTACAAATGTCTACGAGTATCTTTCAAAGTCAGGCCCAATTCTTTTCAGGGGTGAAAGCCCCCAAGAACCTAAAAACAAAGGAAAAGTCTTTGTTGGCAGTAAGCCCTCAAAGAGTCCGCAGCCACTTAAGAGAATTGTTCATTTATGGGAATGAGTAAATACAGAGTTTGCATGGAAGTTCAAACAGGGTTTTGTGAGGGCGGTTGTTTCTAGAGCTGTCCACTTTTGAGAGTGTCCATAAGCAAGGTTCCACTGTGCACTGATATACTGACTATGCTTGTATCATAAAAGAAGTGGACTTAATGTGACTCAAAACTTAATGACAGCCCTGTATATATAATGTATGTATCTTGTGACAAAATGTTGGCTCACTGCGAAAATGCCAAGTCATATATTGGATAGAAGTGGATTAACCATGATGGCTTCATGGGAAACACACTAAATCGCTAGCACACAAAAAAATATCATCGTTGCATATATCACAAATTAACTATGAGATACCAGGCTTGAAAAGTCAAGCTTGACATTTACCTGCCACATCATCATACAATTCTTCACCATCCTGGGCTTTAGTAGCTTCAAGTCCAGGTATAGCTATTCCACCCTTTGGCGGCCGCAGCGGTGCTTTGCCTCCACCTGGGAGATCATTTTTGCAACCAAGTTGAATTTTTAACTTCCTGAACTTATCTGCTAGCAGGCTGCGCTCTTTCTCTGCTCCTGGAGATAGATTTTCTTGGGCCAATGTAACAGAGAAAAACTTTTCAGCCTCTGCAAAGAAAACAAGCATGTACAACCTGGTTAATTATCCATTATTGTTTACAATACATGTACAAATTTAGTATCTATAAAATCAGAAGTCTTAACAACTGACCATGGTATTTTTTCTTGGCTACCTATGTTAATTTATTTCTAAGCTACATGTACCAAAATTTTTGAAACTTTCAGCATTTTGGTCAAGGGAAGGTTAAGCAAGTGATTTAACAAATAGCAAGCTTGGCATGCTATGTAGTCAAAGCATTAAGGCTGGTTTTTCACCAGAGACAGAGTCACAATCAGAAGCTTAGAATGATATGATCTAGTGAAAATCAAACCAATGGAGTCAGAAGCAGAACACCCATTCCGCTTATGACCTTGTCACTTACAATCTAGTGAAAACTAGATTGCCAGAGGAGGAAGCAGAAGCAGAAGAATATTAAACAAATTACAATGTTCAGTTTCGGGCCTTGTGATTGGTTGGTTCTTCTGCTTCTACATCTGACTCTGACAATCTGTTTTTCGCTAGATGATAAACAACAGAGTTGTAAATGGAATCAGAATAAATGGAAATGCTCTGTTTCTTCTGACTCCAATTCTGTTGAACTTATAACTTTGCTTACAACTCTGAGTTTAGCACTTCACTAGGTCGTACACGCTCTTACAACTTGGACTACATTTCCGACTCCAGCTCTGTCCCTGGTGAAAACCAGCCTTTACCAGCATCATTATCATTCTTTATCCTGTCAGTTTCTTAGATGACATGCAGTAGATTTATTTAGATCATGCTCCACATGAACAATTAGTTTGATGGCATCTTGCAAATTTTGGGCTGTACTATCATGGGTGCTTTATTGCTTTCCTTCGCATGATAATAATTATCATAATTACAACAGCAACAGCTTAATTATTAAGCTGCTGTTGTTGTGAAAACTAGCCCTTGGTTGCACTGAGATCTTTTGCTTAAAAACTTATGTCATGGTACAAAAAGCATAATTAACATGTGTCAGAATGAATTTTGTTCAAATGGCATATTAAGGCGGCTGAATAGCCCTTTTCACGGTTACCTTTGCTCATTTGCATTACAATAAAATCTAGCATGCATGTATGTGAGGCAATTTCGGGCTATTTTGTAGTTTTAGCCCGAAATTGCCTTGCCATTGTAATGCAAATGAGAAAAATTAACCATGAAAAGGGCTATTGGGTTCGGCTCATGTGAAGTACGGCGTTTGACCCGGGCCTAAGGTAACAAAAAATAATTAGAATTCTTGAAATGAATTCAGCTTACCCCGCCGGCTTACTGCAGATGGACTTAACTTTTATAAATATAGTCATTTATCATTAATATATACAGTGCATGAGGTATACAATGGATGAATACCATGGATTAGGATAACAACAATTAAGTTAATGCACTGAGTAAATGTCCATTGTAAGCTTATCATTATGGCAGCCAGCTAACAGTTGTTGACCGGTTTCGTTACAAGCCTCTACATAGATTCTCATCAACAGCTTGCCTGCTGCATGAACGTTTACTGATGCATAATGCTCCCCAGTAGAAAGTGTATATCAAGGCCGTCTATATCGCTTTGGCAAAGGAAGAAACTCTGATACAATCTACACGCTTCACTTTTATACCGGAAGCTACTGTAGCCGTGCAGGATGTCGCAAACGCCACCTCGGTCATGATCGGTAAAATAACGAAGAAAAGATCTATTAAACTGACAGCTTACCACACACGGCCTCCTTAACATCCTTGTTAACTGAATCCATTAAAATTTAGCTGAAATCTTCCACGTTTAGCAATCAAGCCTAGTTTCCGCACCTATGAAGGGAAGCAAATAAACACTCGACTTGCGTTTCATTTCGCTGAGACCAAAGTACCTCAACGAATCATGGGTAAGCGACTGAGCAAGTAATTTCCTTGTGCTCAATCCCTCTCGGTCAAAATTCTGGGAATTCGGAAAATACAAGGACTTGAAACAAATTCTTAGAATTGGAACCTAAGCTGGGTAAAATGTCGTCTTACAAGGATTTCTTTGAGTCCTTCGATGTTTCAGCTTGGCAGCCTACGACTAACAATAGAGCACGATACACGCATAGTGAATTAGGGCATTTCTCCATCGACGGAGAGAGGTATTTCTTGCACAACAAATCTAAACTCGGCACTTTGAATCTTCCTCAGGACTGCAGAAGTCTCGATATAGATTTGAATACGGGATTTGAACAATGGAGAGATCTACCTAACGTGCAACAACACCTGGATTCCATGTTGTACTGGATTTTACTTAACAAGGAATCCTTGATGGTACCAGGTGATATCCGGTCTAGCAACGGAGGAGACAGGTATAGCGCTTAACCCTCCAGTCTCAATACGACTAAATCCTGGTTATTTTCTTCACCCGTAGTTTAAACGGACCACCTTCGGTATTTTAAAACGTGACTTTTCAGAGTAAAATCCCTGGGCCAGGGATTGGATTTACTCACCCACCGAGGGATTTCCACTAGGGAGGTGAATTTTTGTAATTTTTCCCACTGGGTAGCTGTTCTCAGCTGGACGACTTACAACATAACGAAATTTAAAACCTGCAATTCAAAGATTTCACTTGTCCGTCACAAATGTTTCTGCAGGTCAGAAACTCACAAACCCATCGTCGATCTTAAAAGTTCTACGCGCAAAAACAGGGTCGAGAAACTTCCACCAACAGATCACGCACTATTGTAGAGTCAAACTTTTAAAGTGATCAACAACGAAAGTTGCAGAATCCTTACAGTAATTGACTACATAAGCTTATGTAGGTGACTACATAAGTGCATTTTTTTACTTCACTAAGGAGCAGCCATGACATTAAAGTGCATTTTTACCTTTCACTCCCCCGCCATGAAAGCTGTCCTTTTATACACTACTTCAACTCAACTATAATACAATGTTACTAGTAGATGGTCCAGCATAGGGCTGGTGGAATGCCAGATGGACCTTATTTGTTTTCTCAAACTTAAACTTAGTGTTGTTTAGCTCGAACAGTGACCAAGGCAACTTCAAGCGTCTGTGTTAATATAGCACGTTAGCTCGGCAAAGCTCGGTGTCTCATCAGAGAAAAACATCGTCTTGTCACGGTGAAACTACTTTGGAACGCGGCGGGATCGGGATGACGCGTCCAAAGCAAGCGGGATGGCGGGATGAAGGAAAAATTGCTGGCGGGAAGCGGGATTTACAAATTCTATTTTACACCCTATTAGAAGTCAAAACTTTTGATTTTAATTTCTTCCCTTCAAACTGTTAAAACAATTAGAATCGCTTCCGTCTAATATAAACTGACAGAAGAAAAAGTTCAAATATCAAGTCACCCTTGAGTTGTCAGAATTCTACCCTAAACTACACTTAGCGTTTATCACTGTTACTTCGCCAGGCTTGATGTTGACTTCGTAACATCACGAGGAAATCTCGCGCGTATTCTAGACGTTCTGAATGGCAAAGACGGAAAGGGACGTAAATGGACTTTGTTGGCCACGCGCTTCAGAGGAACAGTCTACCTGAGCCACATTGAAGACGTCGATCGGGATTACCAACAGTCCGTTTTCTCCCGGAGGGTGTGTTACTGGGGAAAGAGGTTTGAAGTGGAAGTGACGGAGAACTGGGCACCAGCAACCTCGTTCCCAGGTTCTTCATCCGGGCCACTGCTTACAAACGAGGTTGAACGGCATGGTCCTCTCAAGGCCTACCCAGGATTCTTTTCAGTCGTGAGGTTTCAGCTGGAAAATCACAGAATTGCTCTGCGAGCAGAAGTTGATGCAGAAATGCAAGTAAGAGGTTTTGTTTTGTTATAGATTCAGAACTAGAGTTCACTTTGCCGGACGTTCGTGAGAGAAAACGCGATACAACATACATGTACTACGTCGTACTAGCTTCGAATACAGCATAACCCCACCCACAAGAATAAACACCCTCACGAACAGAAGGAACTTTGATTATTAGCCTTCGATCACTCGGTTTAGATTTCTGAGACAATTGAAGTTCATTTGCTAAATGAAGAGCTTGTGCTCTTTTGGCTTACTTCCGGTGATTCCACTGCCGGATGGGATCGGGAACTCCAGTAGTTGTTACGATTTAAGGTCATGTCAGTCTTAACCCACTTCGCCCATTTTTCATTTTGTATTTTTAGAGCTTAGATGAAGCGCAAAACCCACGTTCAAACTACGTGGAACTGAAGGTAACAACTGAAACAATTGTCCGTGCACCGTGGGCTTTCGAACGAAAGCGGTTGGTGCCCTGGTGGTGTCAATCAATCATTTCAGGCACGCCCCTCATTGTGTACGGCATCAGAGACTACGATGGTCACGTGACTAGCATTGACCACGTGAGAACTGACGACATTCCCGATCGAGTTGGTCGAGAAAATCTTGATCCAGAAAAATACTTGCTGTTCCTGAGCGATATACTCACTTGGATAAAGAGTATCGTCTGTTTAGAGGACGTGACATCGGTGTACGCATTTCAGTGGGATCCAAACGCGCCTGGCAGAGGCGTGACAGCTAACGCGTTGTTGCGTGACGCCGGAAACACATTTTTGCATGAATGGTACGTGCGTGAGATGGAAGATTACTTCGCGCTGGCGGGTGAGCAGCGGCAAAGGAAAGGAGTGGAAAGAGCAATGGAGGATGAAAAGCAAAGAAAGGGTGAAAAAATTAAAATGAAAGGAATTCGTAAACGCATGGAGGAATCGTGGCCAAGAACGAAATCCTCTCGCGAGCCGGATGTTCGTATTGAGAAGCCACCTGCACGAGGACAGGATGTAAGATACACTCGCTCTAGATCGCCAGGTTTCCATAATGCCACTGACCGCGGGACAACAACATTTAAAATTCGTGATTCAGAGGATGAAGAACGCTACTCGAGGAAGGAATCATTTGGAAGTGAAAGGTACAAGAGAGAGCACCCGCGCCCTGCATCGCCAGGTTTTCATAACGACAGTGACCGCGGGAGAACAACATCAGAAATCCGTGATTTAGAGGATGAACAACGCCACTTAACGACGCAATCATTTGGAAGTGAAGGGTACAAGAGAGAGCACCCGCACCCTAGATCCCTAGGTTGTCACAATGCCAGTGACCGCGAGGGAATAACATCAGAAATTCGTCATTTAGTGGATGAAGAACCCTGCACAACGAGGGAATCATTTCGAAGTGAAAGGTACAAGAGAGAGCACCCGCGTACTACATCGCCAGGTTTTCATAATACCAGTGAACGGGGGAGAACAACATCAGAAATTCGCAATCCAGCAGATGAAAAACGCTACTCAAGTAAGAAATCATTTGGAAGTGAAGGGTACCCGCGTCCCAGCGCAACAAGAGAAGACAATGAGAGACGACCTTTGCTATATGAAGACCAGTTTGATCGTGATCGAACAAGCCCTCGCGTTTATGATCAACGGCCAGAGCTTTACTCTAGTCGAAGTAGCAGAGACAAGAGTGGCAAAACAAGGAGGTATGAAAGAAGGCGACATGGAGATCAAGTCCAACAGCAAGCGAGGGCGCGGTCGAGAAAAACCTTTAACGAGTCGCGTTCCCAGAGGTTTAGTGAAAGAGATTATCCTTCGTCCACTGACCGGATGCCCACCAAACGAGTTAAACGCGATGCAGAGTATGAAATTCGTGGAATACGTCACCAGGACTCCACTAGATAGATACAATGACCCACACTGGAACTGAAAAGGAAACTAAAACTACAGTACCCGCTACCATCTTAACTACCTTGACACAATTGCACCAAATCCAAAAAAAAAAAGCCTGTAAAATAAGTAGAAGTAACATGTCAAAGCATTGATCACGTTTTGACGGACACGTCTTTAAGAATGCGCTACGCAGGAACGGAACAGAAAATATATGCAGAACGTCAGGTTGGATTGAACTTGTTTAGTAGTTAGCTGAAGATGAACGAAGACATATTGAACAATTCAGCAAAGAAGTCTACTGATTGGATTCTTGCAGATATATACCAGATTTTTTGCGGATATTCCTTTAATAACCGCTCATCATGAGATATTTTTATAAGCACCCAAATTTTTCGACACAGATATCAGTTTCCTTTTTCGATACCCCTTTCCCCTCGCCANCCCCCCCCACCCCGTCCCTACATTAGACCTCTAATATAAGCCCACCAAAATAGGAAAGTCAAGATACATATGAAAACTTTTTTAAAGACGTACTTATTTCGGCATGACCTTTTTCAATTTTGTTGAACCAAATAGTGTAGATTAGCCAAAAAAAAAAAAATTCTTGTCTCTTTCGACTTCGTGTGATAGGAAAGAATTACGTTAGTTCCAACCGTTTGAGTTTTCGGAGATATAAGCACTATTCTGCTACTTTTAAGTCCGAAGCAAAATAAAGTTTATGTATGTATATGTACTATAATTAAAGATAGAGACCGTACGGACAGTTACTAGAGTTTCACGCACGAGGCGATCATCGGACTGTGCCGTTAGAGGTGGGTGGAATACAATTTAAACTAAAGCCCGGTTCATACGTCGAATTTCTGCCGTGTCGAATTCAATTCAATTACGTGCGGCAGAAATGCGACTGTCGGTTCATAAGTCGCACATGTGTCGAATTTAATTCAGAATTAATACTGTCGGGTGTGTCGGTCAGCGGAAAATGTTTTAAACGTAGAGTATTCAATATGGCGGACGGAGATACTGAGCCGGACGAAAGAATTTAATTTTGCGAAGAATTGTCAGCCAGTGGAATGAGACGGAGAAGGCTGACAATGCAGCAGTTTGTTTTGCAATATTTTCAGGTCGCATTGGGTCGAGAATAGCCAAGTTTCTTCTTTCTTTTTGACAGGACCAAATTTACGCCTGCTCGATACATTAACATAATGTATGAATTAGACTCGACACGGCAGAAATTCGACGTTTGAATCGGTGTCGCATTTCTGTCGGATAATGCGACAAAACCAGTCGAACGTGCGGCAGAAATGCGGCAGCCGATTCAGACGTCGAATTTCTGTCGAATTTAATTCGTTGAATTGAATTCGACACGGCAGAAATGCGACGTATGAACCGGGCCTAAGCTCATGGAGGACGGTTGGAGCGATCTTGTTTTTGATTGGCCGCGTAGAACTTGTTTTCGTGTCTGCACTTGGTAACAAGTTCAGATCTTTTGTTCAGGAGAGTAGATCTGTCAGCTGATAGTATGCAGAGCTTTTCTGTCAGACAAATTGCAGCGTGACGGGTTTCCCTTGTAAGACTGAGCTTGCTCGCGTGATAATCGGGACCACTTGATCGAAAAGTCGGTGTTATTGTCTTTCAGGTCCCAGATATACTTTGATAGTACAGTGTCGTGTGAATGCTTGCGATGTTTGAAAGGTAGCTTATAGTTATTGTACCGAGATTTGAAATTATGCTCAGTCATGCCAATGTAAACCTTCGTTTCGCCAGGTGTTGTAGCGACAGTCGCTTTGTAGAGAGGCATCCACCATCAAGAGGGCAAAGGTCTTTATTTCTGCAGTTGCACGACTTATTGGACTCGACGTGAGTGCCGTCCTTAGCGAGAATTTTTGAGTAGTGGCTCTTGATGATGTTTGCCATGTTGTTAGTGCAGCTGTAGCTGATCTTCACATTATTAAATACCTTGTGCAATATGTGTGACCTAGGGAAATGTTTATCAAGTAAGTGGAGGAACGATCTCGCAATATTCGTCTGGACATTCTCACTGTGCGGCGGGTTGAACCAAATGATGTTTCGTGGTCTGTTCCTGCGTCTGTGATCCGTCCGGTTATCATCCCTCACATATTGCAGACTCTCACGATAGCCAAGATAAGCCTGAGATTCTGGTATCCACTATACATCAATGCGAAGTCCAACCACCCACCTTCCATAATCAAGCATCTACCGGCAACGATTAGTACCAGAATCTCAGGCTTATGGAACAGGAACAGACCAAGAAACATCATTTGGTTCAACCCGCCGTACCGTGAGAATGTCCAGACGAATATTGCGAGATCGTTCCTCCAGTTAGTTGATAAACATTTCCCTAGGTCACACATATTGCATAAGGTATTTAATAGGAATAATGTGAAGATCAGCTACAGCTGCACTAACAACATGGCAAACATCATCAAGAGCCACAACTCAAAAATTCTCGCTAAGGACGGCACTCACGTAGAGTCCAATAAGTCGTGCAACTGCAGAAATAAAGACCTTTGCCCTCTTGATGGTGGATGCCTTGTCAACAATGTCGTCTACAAAGCGACTGTCTCTACAACACCTGGCGAAACGAAGGTTTACATTGGCATGACTGAGCATAATTTCAAATCTCGGTACAATAACCATAAGCTACCTTTCAAACATCGCAAGCATTCACACGACACTGTACTATCAAAGTATATCTGGGACCTGAAAGACAATAACACCGACTTTTCGATCAAGTGGTCCCGATTATCACGCGAGCAAGCTCTTACAAGGGAAACCCGTCACGCTGCAATTTGTGACTGACGGAAAGCTCTGCATACTATCAGCTGACAGATCTACTCTCTTGAACAAAAGATCTGAACTTGTTACCAAGTGCAGACACGAAAACAAGTTCTACGCGGCCAATCAAAAACAAGATCGCTCCAACCGTCCTCCATGAGCTTAGTTTAAATTGTTTTCCACCCACCTCTTACGGCACAGTCTGATGATCGCTTCGTGCGTGAAACTCGAGTAACTGTCCGTACGGTCTCTATCTTTAATTATAGTATTCCGCGCTGCATGTATTTGCATCGAGCACTTCTACGATTGTGTGAAACCTTTTACATTTTTCTGTATGTATATGTATGTATGTATCAACCTCAAAGACTTCACTCTGAGCATTTCACTCTGTAAAATTATGTGTTGGTGCACACTGTTATTTCTCTCAGTATTTCGAATCGAGAGTACCAGCATTTTCCAACAGTAAGCGTCGATTTGGCATGGTAAAATAGGTCAGGTGTAAATTAAAAATGTACCGGGTAGTTTAATAAAATGCTGAAAGACAACACCCACACATGTATGCACTGCGGACCTATCTTTTGGACACAAACGAGATTTTCACTATTTTCAGGTATCCCGACACTTCCAGTTGTGTTCTTTAAATTAACGCCCAAAGTACAAGGCAAACGATTGGTATTATTTTAACGAGTTTGTGAAAACGTCTTCTTCACGAGTTCGCGAACATTTGTATTCCGACCGTAAACCTCACAGCCTTAAGAATTTAAAGGATTCTGAATCATGTCAGATGGTCGGTTAAAAACGCTAAAATATGTCTATGGAACAATAGGCGATAAAAGTTAAAAAAAACTTCATGTGAATGGTATGCATAGCTGTAAAAAAAATAAATAATAAAATTATAATTATAAGCTAAAAAAAGGTGAGAATTATGGTTTACAGACTGATAAACCACGCGGGATGTTGGAAGAACACGAGAAGAATTCGTAAATCACGAACTGCAGGCGAGTGATCTACGAATTCTTCGAGTGTTCTTCCAACATCCCAAGTGGTTTATCATGCCTCTAAACCATAGAAAGTTGTGGTCTATTGCTTTTATATAATAATGCAGAAGACACGTACGCGAAATTTCCATGAGTTTACTGGCACAATAAACCATAGCTGATTGACCAATCAGAGCGCGCGCATTCATCTAATTATCATGTAAAAGGTGTTCACTCTTACATATAACTGACGGTTATCCACTCAGATTAAACGATTCAGTTAAAAAGATAACTCGTGGGAGTGAAATTGCAATTTCTCGAGTATTTTCAAATGCAAAGACGCGAACAGTGCTAAAAGCACTCTGCTGATAATAATTGACAAAAGAATTAGCCCAGATTGGCAAAAACTAGACTTTATCGGACCGGTGTTACCAAGTTCACAAAAGAACCCGGCGAACTTCAAAGACAGCTATATTTCTTCCCACTCAATATTGAACACGGAATTAGGAATTTTGCATATGGTGCTGTCTATTTTTTCCTTCTAAAAATTGGCTATACTGAATTATGTAAGCTGTAAGCTAAGTTACTAGCTAGAACTTAATTCTGTGCGCTGAATTAGCTTTAAGTTACTTTGATACAAGTTTAATATAAAGCTGTAAATGTATACCTTAATTTGATTTAATTTTGACAGACTCAAGATGCATGGCATAAATCATGTTGAATTTCTCTATATAAATTAAAGTTATACCGTGTTTTCAAATGTTTAATTTTCCGAAAACAGTTATGTCACATTACATTCAATTCAAGTGATATTATCACAGTGCTAACTAGATCTGTCAATTTCCACCAAGCTGCAATTAATGCGGCTTATGCAGTCGTGCATAGTCGTGCATTGCCAATGCGAAGGGAACCACCTTACCTAATCAATGCTAAGAAAACCAGAAATTCATTTCAAAGGCAAACAGCTGTTGATTTCAAATTTGTTTTTTTTTTTTAGTTTGAAAGCAAAGGTGATCTTAATTGACAGCGAAACTCTCAACTCTGTCACGCAGATAATCTTGAGTGAGTCAAAAAAGACGACGTATTGAAGAGAGCCCGGAAGAGTTTAATAGCACTAAAGTCAAGGTGATACGGATTTTCGCCAACCTAATCTTGACAAATTGATAACTGTACCTGCTGCCGGGATCGAGAAATACCAAGGTACGTTTGTTGAAACGTAACGAATCTTGTGTACAGCACAGTATCTTAAGTAGTAAAATCACCCTTCATAACAGAAGTGTATGCAATGATCGATTTTGGTCTTCGCGTTTTGACAAACTACTGAGTTCAGCCCGCCGCCAAAAAAATATTTATCTCAAACACAAAAAGTTCATTATTTTAACAAGTCTTGATGAAACCTGTCGAGTGTTGCCGTCCCCAAAGCATTTCAACGTGTTTTTAATGACAAGATGTTAGGGATGTAGATTCTAAACACATCAACTCAAGGCTCCGTTTAAGGTTTCATGTTATGAGCACGACAAACTAAGAAAGTAATTTCAAAAAAGCAGATGAATGATTTTTTTAGCGATCAGAAAGCGATTCATCTACTTCCCTACAAAACATGGCAGACTTTTGTTCTAACGCGAGAAAAATTAAATCCAAGAAAGCAATGTTTTTCGGGAGCTTAATGATTGACAAATTTGAATATGTCGTTACCACTTGTAAGGTCTTCAGTTCAAAACAGAAAAACTGATATTTATAGAAGTTATGCAATTAAAATCAATATTTAGCCTTTTGGTTTTATTGCCAAAACATTCGTTAAATGATCGACTCAATTATTGGAAGAACACGACCGAAATTGATTTCATCACGTATTTAGGTGAAAAGTTTTCTTCGATTATTCACAAATAGGTTTAGTTTTTGGTCTGCGAGCCCCATCTGTTGTTCATTAGAACTGGTAACTTTTTCCGATCCGATTAGTAAAACTCGACGACAATCTCTTCTTGAAAGGTTATATGACATCATTTCAGCAAAAACATTCGGCCAAAGGTGCGTGTAGCCGAAATCTTGTGCTGAAATTTTGATGTGTTAAAAAAAAAAGCAGTGCGCGTAGTTACAAATCACTCAAACGATCGACCCAGCTGTAACAACGGTGTATGTAATATATCAAACACATAAGACCGTGTTTGACCACACTTCAAAACAACGAGAAGAGTGTTGAAAATACGACGCGTAGCGGAGTATTTTTGAGTTTCGAGGTGTATGGAAATGTGATCAAGTACTGTCTCAATCGAAACTAAAACTAAGGAGAAAACAGAGCATGCAATAAAATCATAATATTCTATGCTAATTAAGATCAGATATCCAAACACCGTCATGGTAATGAATTATTAATGAGTTTAAGAAATGATTACCGTATCCACATTCAGTTTAAGGGGGGTCCGTCTTAACTATCAATTTGTCGATGACTTTGTTGTTGAAAACCAGACCTCCTAAGGATAAGCTTAAGCTTGCACAGGTTTGTTCCATTGAAGACTCCTGAAAAAGTTTCAAATCATGGCCATATTTGACCAGTCACGTGCCAGAACAGAAAAAACCCTAAAGTTTAAAAGGCATCTAAATCCGAATATTTAAATCAGTGTTAATAGATTAAGAACGTCCAGGTGCTTAATGCTAAGCATGAGTTTTATGAAACTCGCGATCGCATTATCATAATTATGAGATATATAAACACCCGTAATGACAGACTTTCTACTGTAGCTTTCCTCTTTTACGGGTAAATAGTAATTCCATGCGTACGATTATAAAGAAGGCTAAGTTATTTCTGATTCATAAGAAAAATCGGAACTTTTCCTCTTTTCTTCCAAGTTTTAGGGATTTAAAAAGTCTAACGCGCGGTTTTGGACTGGCACTATTTACGCACGCGAAATCATTTCTTTTTTTTAAAAGCAAACGTTCCTTCACATAAAATTCACTATTTAGCACCTCAAAATGCTCAAAATTAGCTTTTTCCTATAGTTAAGAAGGACCCCCCCCCCCCCTTAACGGACGTACTGGAGATAGAAACAGGCCAACCAAACCTTAGAAGCTGCAAGATGTACTAGTCTAAGTAAAAATGAAACACAGAAAAACACACAAAAATGACAAAAAAGCTTTCCGTACAGTCATAAAGAGCTATTTTCTAATCAGTTATCGCACTTCCTGGAATATGAAGGCCTTGGAAGAATGCTACACGTACAAACTATGCGGTTAATTCACTCGGCTGTACAGGCCATGAAGCTAGGTATACACACAACGATACAAGCCAGGCCGGGAATCTATAGCTAGCCAGTCAAAGTTTCCGGTTTGAAACCAGTCGGTATACTAAAGCCTTGTCCAAACGGGAAATGTTTGTCGATAAAACACGATCAAAAATTGTTCGGTGACCAAACGTTTTCCCGTTTGAACACTTTGCTTGAAATTGTTGGATCGTGTTTGATAAAATTTGAACGACGTCAAACATTTGTTGAAACATTGCCAAACATTTTACTCGTTTAAATGTATTTAATATCGTTTGGCCAGTCAGTGCACCATCATGTTTGGTCACTAAACAATGTTTGATCGCGTTTGGTCGCCAAACATTTTCGTTTGGACAAGGCTTAAAACTTATTTCCTGTATTGAAACTCACATAGAAATACTACTGAAATATAGCCAGACAGTGACAAAAACTCCAACCAGCGCCCCCTCCCTCGCGCCCCCCTCCCCTACCCCGCCAAAACACCAAACTGTTAGCATGACTGAGTATTCCACGCGTGTAACGCTTGAAATAACACCAATCAGCTCGCAGGTACAATAATTAATGTGTGCGTTTCAAAAATCAAATGTTGATCGGTTCTCAATAAAATACCAATTGTTTCATTAGGGGAATTGTCTTTTAAAAAAGTGTCCATTCTATTCTTAGGAATCAGCATCTATAATGAATTTGCTTATCAATGAAACATTCCTTAATGCTACCAACGGAGGTTTAAACGACTCATTGAGAAACGGCACAGTTTCCACACACGAACAATCTTCGGGCTGCCTGCCTTCATGGATTCTCGATGCAATGGGCGTCCAGGCAGTGTACGTTAGCGATATTGTGCTAACGGTTGTCCACATTCCGTCCGCCATCTTTGCATTCCTGTCTAATCTGGCTGTCATAGTAGCCATCATCCGCACCCCCTCACTTCATGTCCCTGTCAACGTGTTGCTGTGTGGCCTGGCCACTGCTGATTGTCTCACAGGCCTGGTTGTGCAGCCCGTGTACGCGTCATGGCGCTTTTTGTTGCATCACCTGAGAGACCCCTGCAGTTTGGTCCATCTGTACCAGACCAGCAAGTCGCTTCCGTTCTTGGTCGTTGGCTGTACGTTCTTAAATCTGGGAATAACCAGCGTCGACAGATTTTATGCAGTTTCCAAACCCTTCGCCTACAGAACAGTAGTCACATTTCAAGGTATGTCCTTCCAAAGTCTCTTGGTTCTTCACAATTCTTTTGATGACGCGGTCGTCTAATGTTTAGAGATGTCCAAGTCCGAACCCTGGCCGGGGTCATTATGGTACGTTTTTATACTCTCATCTCCTGAGCCTGTTTGTCCGCGGGATCTTGGCAACATAAAGGGCAGCTATGAACCCTTGTCAGGGTTTGATTGGGAGGATGTTTGGACTAAGATTCACTAATTCAACGCTGGTTATCCAATGATTTAGTCTCTTACTAAAACCATTCGATCTCAAGACAGATTTTAACAAAGAGAATTCAAAAGACAGGTGGAATTTTCGGACCGCTAAATTTGTCTTTCTTTAGGGATGACTGATCGAAAGTTTTCCCCGTGAGCCAATTTTAACTGAACTTCGTGAAGGTCTGTAGGAGATTGGTTAGACGGTTTGTTGTCGGAGGCTCAACCAGCATTGAATTAGTGAAAAACTTAGTCCAAGAACTACCCAATCAGATCAAGTATCCAGAGGCAACTTTTGCATAACTAACACATTTAGAACTGATAGGTAAATATATATGGCCGACAAAATGTATACTCTTATAAATTGCCCACTTACAGATCGTATTCTGTACAGATGAAGTTTATTACCCTATTACCCTATCAGTCTACAACTTTTGATTAATTTAAAAATTCTGATGTTTGTAAAGAGAGGCAAAAGGAACGCCCTTATACATTAGATGGGCTTATATCTGGGGGGGGGCTAGTAAGGGGGGGGGGGCTTTAACGTGGGATTTTACGGTATTCGATAACCGTGATAGTTGATTTGATTGCCACGATCCTTATGACTCGAGGCACAATTTAACCGTATACCTTCTGCTCAACCTCAATATTGACTTAACAAAAGTGGTGTAATGTCTCTGTCAACAGGTATGGTGAAGATCGTGGTGGGTGCGTGGGTCCTTTGGTTCATTTACGTTTCTCTCATGGAGACTGTGGTCCCAAGCACGTTGTACGATTCGATGGAAAATGCCACTTTGGCCTCACTGATTATCATCCCAACGGCAGGTCACGTGCTAACCTTCCTTGCTGTGCGCCGCAGCAGCAGAAACGTCCTGGGCCTCACTCACAATCGACAGCATGCGACCCTCTTTAACAGAGAGAAAAAGGCGGCTGCAAGCATGGCTGTCTACACTGTAGTTACGTTAGCCTCGTTGGTACCTCTGATGATCCTTCTGAACTTCGGAGACAGCGTCGTTGCTGGAAATCTGCTGTTTCCTTGGGCGTCTACAATAACAACGCTCGTGTCCTCCATCAATCCTGTTATTCAAATTCAGAGGAACGCTGCCTTAAGGGAAGCCCTCAAGAATCAGTTTAATTACCTGTAACTTTTCGGCAAGCTGCTTTCATAACAGGAAAGAAGTGAAGTCAATAAAAGTTAATCTGGCCAACGTCTTTTGTGTTCACTTGTGTGCGGGCATTTTTTTTACTTTTTCTCGATAAACGTTTAACGCTAAAACAAAATAAACTTTAAACACTCTACTCTTACTTGTTTGAAGTAAAGTAGTAATGAAAAGTGAGCACAACCGCGCAAGTCCTTCGCCGTCGCTGTTCCGCGTTCCACGACAGATCTAAGCCAATCTTTTCGTGACATGAGTCAAACCTTTCAGAGCATCCACGTCACCGTCACGTTACGTACGACCGAACGGCCGTTTGAGATTAACACTTTCGCCGACCAACAAATAAACCGGAATATTTTAAATAATCTGAGTTATTTGAACTAACAGTTACAGGCAGCCATTAACACTTTCCCTGATCAACAAATTAACCAGACGTTTTAACAACCATTTAATTTGGGTTATTTGAACTAACAGTTCAATTTTTAGCCCAACACTCGCAGTTACATAAAACGTTGTCCTAGAGATGTCAGACGATATAAGCGCCTGCAAAACAGCAAAACTTGTTAGCAGATGATCGACCAATCCCTAATTAGCATAATCTGCTCCGCCACTACAACCCGTAGCTACGCTATTCACGGGTTAAAAGAATGTGAAAACAAGCAAAACATAAAACAACAACAACAACAAACACACACACACACAAAGAAGGGTGAGGCCAACATTTGATATCTGAACCAAACAAGCTTGGTCAATAAACATCTTATGTTTTTCCAAACATGATGAAACATTTTATCAGCGCGCATAACCGGAAGAGATGAAAAGTTACCAACCTCTTAAAGGTGGCTCAAAACAGTTTCCAGTAGTTAGATTTTGATGGGTCGTTGCAACCACTCTTTATCACTTGATGCTACAATCATGATGTTAAAAAAACTGCCCAATCATTGGTGAACACGTTGTGATCATTTTCATGACACAACAGGTTACCATAGCAACAGTATGTCCTGCCAAAAACACCTTAAATTACAGCTTTAGGAGCTTACAATTTAAAAACGGCACGGTGAAATTTTTTGATATTATCAAATTTTGACTAAGCATGATAAGACGCAGATTTTGGCAAAGTTTAAAAATTCTGTACAAGGGGTTCAGAGCCGAAGTTTTCAAAACTTTAATTTACACAAATTCCTCAAAAATACGTTTTCCTTTATTGAAGAGTCCGCTTACAAACCAACATAGTAATAGTTAGTCAATAAACATCTTATGTTTATAGTAAACAACATAGTAACGGCTGCATTCGCATCTATCATCCTGTTTAAAAGACAACCTTACGCACTTTTTTTGTTTCTAATACATTTTCAGGCCCTGCACTGACATGCAATGGTTATTTCGATATTCTTTGTCGACGTTTTTACTCATTTCGGGCACTGCTATTTGATTCAGTGCATCCAGGAAGTTTATGTTCTGTGAATAAACTTAATAGAGTTATTATATTAGATCCGTTGATTTGTAGTCCGTAGTGCATTTGAACGTTTCCAGGATGTACTCTTGAAGTTAAAACCACTGGGCAGATTAAGTTGTTTAGTTTAGTTGCCGTCGATGTAGTTTTGCAAGGCCGTACGTAAGGCCGCCACGCCAAAGTCAACGTCTTCCTTCGTTATACACATGGGTGGCTTGATTCGAAGAGTCTAAAATTGAAAGTAGTGAGAACAGTGTTGAAAACTGAACAACGGGGTGAGATTTACAATAAAGACAGATAACCCCACACAACCCATCCGCATCAAACTTATCTGGGACTTGTGAGACACACGTGGAAGCTGCGCCCGAGGAAAAGAAAAGCTTAACAAAGGTTTAAATTTTCCCGCATATTGAAGTAATACCCACTCCGAAAGAAGAAGAGAAGGGAAGGGAAGGGAAGAAACGAAAGGCCCTTTTCACAGTGGACTGATCAATCTTGCATTACAGCGAAATTCAACGTGGACACGAAGCAATTTCGGACAGAAACTACACGAGTCCACGTCCGAAGTGCTCTTGCGTTCATGATGGATTTTCACGACAACAGAGCTTTTAGAAAACGCTCTTCAAACTGTAGGAATTTGAAAATGCGGGCTTATATTTTCGTGTGGACGGAAAACATTTTGAAAGCGGAGTTTTCCGAAAACGATGGCGTCACGAAAATCACGCGATTTCCCTGCTTGAGTTTTCGTCGAAAACAAGTCCAAAATGACCGGTGATTGCTGCGTTATAAAATTCTCCGGCGTAGTGTTTTGATGCGTTTTCAGAGTGAATCCTCCGTTTTCAAATTCCTCCGGTGTAGTGTGGACGGGGGCGTCATGTGACGGGAGTGCCAAAGGATTTAATACTTACATTTCCATACAGTCCTCCCTTGCCCATAAGCACTCCCATGTCTTTGATGTCCTCCCAAATTGGCACAAACTTCTCGGGCGGCAACGGTGTCTTCGACTCCTAAGTTTCAAATCAAGAAATCGTCATATTATATGGCCCTTCTGATATGGCTAACTCAAGATGGGCAAAATGAACCGAATCCTGCGCTGTGATTGTCTACCCGAGCGGGCAAGATGGCGCTATATTGCCCGCTCGGGATTACTCGCTGTGTCCCACAAGAAAATAGTGTTCCCTTTCCATAAAGAAGATCCTTTATTGACCAACAACGGAGGACAGATGTCCTTGGGACGGTTCCAGGAATCCTTTCAAATTGGTGCGTTTTACTCTCGCCATCATTATTATGACCCTGGATCCAACTTAATTTCCCGCCCCCCCCCCCCCCCCCCCCCNATATGGCGAGCTCCGTGAGCGGGAAAGATGAACCAAATCCTGCGCTGTGATTGGCCACCCGAGCGGGCAAGATGGCGCTACCTTGCTCGCTCGCGATTACACGCTGTGTCTCGCAAGAAAGGATTTTTATCGTATCGCGTTCACTGTCCCCACACTTTCAACCCATATTGAAGCTTGTTAGGTCAAGATGGCTGGATATTGGCCTCGTTCTTTTTTACGAGTTTGCCTCTCGGTCCATAAACACGCAAAAAAAAAAAAAAAAAATTGGCCAATATCTAGCCACCTTGACCTCAAGATTAGTCAATAACCCATATCTACCGGGTGTGGACTGATTTCCCAGATTGCTTGGTATATGCTTTCAGTTTTGCCACTTTTGTTAACTTTGCATAATGCATGTAGTTCTGAGAAATTAGTTCTTGATCATTGCATTGTACTAACAGATTCAGTCAGGACTGTAGCCTGAAATAAAATATGACTGAGGCAATCTCCATGGTTAAATTCTCTTTCTAGGTATTTAGCTTGTTCATGATGACTGCCTTTAAACACAACCCTGGAATCACGAAAAAAGTGGCTGAGGCAAAGTCAAAGTGCTTCGGTTTGCCTCATACTGGCTACGTCCGGCAATAAAGAACATGCGCAGTACTATCAAAGGACAGGTTATAAACAGCTATGTAGCAAGTAACTTACTTTATCTGTGACAAACTCAACGCCAATCATCAAACCCTTGCCTCTGACGTCACCAACTATATCCGGGAACTCTTTCTTGACTTTGAGTAACTCTTGTAGAAAGTAGGTGCCGACCACCTCAGAGTTCTTTTGAGTGCCATCTGCATCAATGGTCTGGAAAAACAAAAACAAAACTAGATGTCGGTAAACAAAGAGCAGGACAACATAAACAAATTTAGGCTCACTTTAGGGGTTAGGGTTTAAGTTGGGGTCACCATTTAAACAACTTTGCTGTCAAGGGAAAAATTGGAGCCACTAAAAAACGGTCTGCATGTTACCTGGTCCAATCACCCGGTGGCGGGAAATCTGAAAAGTTCATGTGGTCAATTACAGTTTTCTGTCCAATCAGATTTCGACTTAGTAAAATGGACCAATCGATAGAAGACATCTGCCGACGGCAACCAAGCGGCGGGAAATGTGAAAATCTTACGCAGCCATTAGCAAAAAGAAATCTAAAGTTGGCCTGGCACAGTTACGATATATTCACAGTTCTACAGTACCTCTAATACAGCTTTTCCAACCGCTGAAGCAATAGGATTTCCACCGTAGGTGTTGAAATGAATGGCTTGCGCAAAGCTCTGGGCAATTTCTGCGGAATATGAAAAAAGAACACGAAAAATTCAACGCATCTAAGAAAAACAGCGTTCACAATGCTTGTATACCATTTTTTCACGGAGAAACTGGTTCGTCAACGGTTTGTGCAATTTGGAAATTTTGGACTACCTTTCAAGACGTTCCGTGTATTTCGAAAATTTTCCGTTTGATCGAGCCAAAATTGTCTTACCATTTACTTTCTGACCGAAATTTCAGAACATTTTTGGGTGAATGGTAAGCAAATAATGTATTCAATGGTACTGAAAAAATACAAGAAATCACTTCAAGTAAAGATGGTGTTTTACCTGGTGTCGTTACCACAGCTGCCAGTGGAAACCCGTTTCCAATGCCTTTGGCCATCGTCACTAAGAGTAAAATGCATCAGGGAATGGATAAGAGTAACGCACAAAAACAAAAACAAACAAACAAACAAGCAAACACAAAATGCTCTGAAGCCAAGGGTCTACCGTAGTGGTCATTGGTCAGAAGTATTGGTGAAAGAGCTAAACTATGCAAGATCAAAACAAAAAATGCTATACGTGTACTCGTTCAAAGATACTAAAAGCAGAACTTGCCTATCAAACAGCTATCGGAATAATTTATTTATTAATGGCATACCGATGTCTGGAACAACTTCTTGAGTTTCGAAACCCCAGTAATGGCTTCCAAGACGACCGAATCCTGTTTGAACCTGTAAATATACAGCAATAACATTAATACATGTAGTTGTTCATGCTGATGTATAGTCTGAGTGAAGATTCACACGTTACCTCATCTGATATACACACGCCGCCTCTCTCACGTATTAGCTCGTATGCGCCCTTTAGAAATCCCTTGGGAAGGTGAACTGACCCGCCGACACCCTAAAAGAAAAGCTTAACACATCATGGACAGAACCAAATAATTAAAAGAAAAAGATTCTTTTCAGTGCAGACTGTACTTACCTGAATGGGTTCGGCGATGAAGCCTGCGACCTTCTTACTGGTGGAGTGAACCAAGACATCTTTCAGTTGATCAACATACATCTTGGATGCCATACATTGACCTTTAACGATACACGTACACGATACAGTTAAATTTCAACTGCAAGCTGTGTCGCAAACGGAAAGATTTTGACGGGAAGACAGCTCTGCATAAACTTTGCCGCAAGCCAACGGATATAGAGAGGTTTTCCAGCCTTTTCATGGGCCGCTACGTAAACACAAGACAAAGTTCCTTTTCTAATTTCAGCCGAAGGTAGAACTTTGGGATTCCCCTAAACTTTCTCGACTATTTTGCCGCTGGCTGTTTGCTACAAGAATTAAGAATTGACTGTACGCCAACAAGATTTAAATGAAAACCGGGTTATCAGGCATGGAGAGAGCGAACAATGTAATTGTTTAAGTACAAATCACCCACACTTCGAAAACGCAAAGAAGAGGCCGCCAATTCATTAACAACCGCACACTTAATTTCTGGGCTACGCCCTCTTCAACTATATATCACGCGATAGAAGTCTTGAGCTCAGCATAGAAATACGCGCGTATTTTCTTTGGCTGATTCTAAACTAAATTGCATTACTCACTACCATTAACCATTTGTCAGGTTTTTACAAACAATTCCAAATTACCTGCAGCGCAGTTACAAGTCCTGTCCGTCTACGGAAACAAGAACAAAAACAAAAAGCGGATATAAAATTTGGACCCACAAAATACCGAGCTGATATCAGAAAGCAACCAGGAACATGCAATGTGGGGTGTAGTAACTTTACTTACCTGTGCTACCGAGTCACGGCAGTTCGCGCCACCCCACGGTCCTTGATAAACATCTGGATTCATAGTCTAAAGAGCGAATTGTTTGAAAACGTTAAATCTAAGTAGATGAAAAGTTTCACACGCCCTCGGCAATAATTTGTATGGGTAATCGTATGAATGCGAGCGCAATTAAGGATGTACACTACAAGCGATATTTGAAAATTCTCTTAAAATTGTACCAGCCTTTAGGCGAGTGCAAGTTGAAAGAATTTTCTAATATCACGAGTACATGTAGCATGAACATGTTTCTCCACAAGGGTATGGAAAGCCCAAAGTATTTTAAAAATGCCTTAAATTACACCATGATTAGCTATCCGCTATTTGGCAATAAAGTGTTGGTGCTGGGGACAAAAGGAGTACAATTTGGTTTAAACCTTAAACCTTGGAACATATGAAACATCGATATCCTGCTAAACTGTGCTGCAAGATTTCTCAGGGCCCATCCTGCGAGCAGAGTCTCCTTCAATCTCCCAAGAAAAATCATGAAGATTCTTGTATTTTGTGTATTTGTAGTACAGAAAATTTTTCTAAGAAGATCGATGGAGATTCTGCCTGCAGGGCACATACTGTAAGGTCTTGTTGTGACACTGTATGTATGACAGTGCTCTTTTTGTTTGTGGGCAAAATAGAACTAAATGTAGTTGAATCACTCAGACGATAAGAAAAGTGCATTATTTTACCTGGTAAAACCCAAATCCTAATGGTACATTAAGTTTCCAAGTGTTGTGGGCTAATATTCCCAGTGTGCCTGGACTGGCACCATGATATGCATTTCTATAACAAAAATAATACAGCTGTAAGTTAAAAGAATAGTTTTGTGTCTGTGCTGTGTGTAAGAATGTAAGTTAGGATAATCAACCCAGGAGGTATAAGAAATTATCTTGATTGATGTGGTACCAGTGTGTGTCTGAGGAATGAATACCCACTTGGGTGCAAAGCACCTGGATACATGACACTGAGTTGATTTCAATAGCATTCTGGCCTTAATTTACAGGATGGTTTTTACAAGCACACAAGCATAAGCGTAAGCCAACATACACAGATGCGGTAAGGTGCTGTTAGAAGTAGAGCCTTTTGTCAGGAAATTTTACTAACAAAAGGAGCTACTTATCAACATCTTACTGCATCTGCATATGCCGCCTTATGCTTCAGCTTATGTGCTAGTGAAAACCAGGCTTACCTGAGAGAGAGGAAATCAAAGTTTCCAGTGTGAGCTCTTGCCATCAGTATGGCCATGTCATTAGCTTCTGAGCCACTGTTTACAAAGTAACATACCTGAATAACAAGAAAATGTGTGCAGTTTTGCTCAGATTAAAGTTAGGAAAGTACCATCCGTAAGACAAATGGTGTTTACCAGAGCAAACTTCAGATTAAGATTGTACAATGCATACAAGTAACTATGCGCTAATTACACTAAATTTCTAACAAAAAGACATCAGTGGCATGAAAATCAGTCTGGAATTAAGAGTGAAATGAACATCGAAGTGATTGTGCATGCACAACTGTAACACACAGTAATTTAATTAAATCTTAATTGCCACAAAAGTTAATTAAAATATTTTCAGTTTTTTTCTCATTAGTAATAATCCACATCAAATAGGTTGATGAGATTCAAAAATGCCCATAGATACATGTAGATACTGCACCTGTACCGGTAGAATGTAGCCCACATTCAGTTCCTACCTAATGACTAGCTAGTTAGCTATCTCCCTGATCCACTTTCATTTTTAAATTAATATCTTCCTTACATTGACCCAAGAGCCTACAATAAACAATGAAGAGGTCAAAGAGTTTAATAGCATTAATTCAATTAAAGACATTTGCTGCTAAAGGTGTAATTATTAACATTTAATTTCCTTTTAATTAACAATAAGGACAGTGAATGCAACACATTAAGTTCCAAATAACCCTGTCTGAGTAGCTACATGTATTCACTAACATTTGATCAAACACAATCACAATTGATGCCAGTTGTTCAAGACTATTGGCTACACATCCACAAGTATATTATCAATAATCATTTTTAATTAATAAACCAATAATTTAAGAGAACAGGAAATACAAGAACATTACATGCAACTGAATTAAATTCAAATACATGTACTTAAATAATGCATTGATCAACAATCTTTAAATCGTTGCTCCAATCATGAGATGGTTGCTTTTTATCACATTTATTATTAATAGCGACCTTCCCTGGCTTTGAATTTGCAAATATTTCAGTTTATTCTCTGTCACTTTTTTTTTCTACCTTTAGCTTTCCAGGGAGTTTTGAAGCCATTAGTTCTGCATATTCATGAATGGTTGGATGGTAATAGATGTTTGTTGTGTGCCACAAGTTACTGAGTTGTTTCTTAGCAGCTTCTGTCACATATCTGCAAAGATAATTTTAAAAAAATTAAACAATGACTCTAGAAGATGATCAATTGTGATCTTTTCACAGCTTTTAAAAACTTTAAAATTCTTCTTTCAAGCATTTAATTCATGAAGTTAGGCACGGAACCACAGACAGCAAGAATGCAGACAGTAAGAATTTAATAGATAATACGTTCAATCATGTAAAAAAAAGAGTGGATTTCACGTCAGTGCCTCAAGTACAATGAATACATGTAAATTTTCATGTCTGCCTTTTATTATGCACTAAGTGACTGGCTTTTGAAGTTCAATAATATATACTCTTGCCACTTTGTCAGGCAAGTGTTTAATCAGAAGTAAAACCAAAACTACTTTGTGACTTCCCTTGCTCACACATTCTCCCCTGTCTCAGGTTAGATACATAAATTCCATATTCCCTTCCAGTTTTGATTGGTTCACTAGATCGTCTCAAGGTCCCCTAGGTAATTGGCCAGGGTGACTACTTTTGTGTTGATTTCAGACCACTCAATTGAAATCTGCTCTATGATATCACAACATGATCACCATAACACACTTTTATAGGAACTTTGCTTGTATCTCCCTGCAAAACCCTCTAAATAAAATATAGTTGTACAAAAAAATAGGCTGGTTAACAAAGAGCAGGACAATGTAAACAAATTTAGGCTAAGTTTAGGGGTTAGGGTTTAAGTTAGGGTCACCATTTAAACAACTTTGCTGTCAAGGAAAAAATGGGAGGGTAACCTGAAAACACTGAGCCCCAGTCCGCGGACCCCCACTACGGACCGGGTCCATGGACTACCTATGGACCAGTCCATGGACTTCCCTTACGGACCCCCTCTACGGACCACCCCACAAAATATAATAAAAATAATAAATAAATATTTCAGTTACGGGTTGTCTAATAGATTACTCGTGACGGTGAAATTTCGAACATTACATTGTGCAAATGGGCAGACCTGGATTCAGGCTCGGGTGCAATTTATACAATTACACATTGCCATTTCCTTTGCTGTGGCCATAAAGTATACGAAAGATTTATTATTTTTGGACTATTTAAGGGTGATCTGTAGAGGGGGTCCGTAGGGGTAGTCTATGGACCAGTCCGTAGGGTAGTCCGCGGACCTGGTTCGTTGTGGGGGTTTGCGGACCGGGGATCAGTGTTTTCGGGTTACCCAAAATGGGAGCCACTAAAATACCGTCTGTACAATGTACATAAATGATCAGAACTTACGGATGACAGTGCCCCACACTGACAGTCACAATACCAGCAAACAAATCCAGGTATCTTCTACCATCACTGTCCCACAGCCACTGCATGTGACCCTAGATCATAAAAATAACAGAAATGCCGAATGGCCATTATAGAAAATCTTTACTGCTTGACAGCTGCAGCTAAGGGAACAACTGCATACATGTGAGATGATGCATTGTGAGGTCTAACCACTTGTAACAGACACAATTGAGAGAATAGACTGAAGTGTTATTGTAGGCAACTAGGATCACTATAACTGGCCACTTATAAATGGAAGGTGCCACTTACTTCCAGAATGTTAATCTACCAGTGGAGGTTTAATTGACTGTACTAGTACCATATCCCACTTTACGGAGTAAAGGAAAGAGAAGCAAAGAAAAAAAAGCAAAGAAAAGGAAAGAAAGAAAAGGAAATTAGAAAAGAGAAGAAAAAAAAGATAAAAGAAAAGAGAAGCAAACCGAAGAGCTGTAAAAGCAAAGAAAAGGGAAGAAAAGAAAAAAAGAAAAAACAAAGAAAAGAAAAGAAAAGGCCAACCGACAAGCTTGGACCAGTTTGAAAGTGAATGATACGCGAGTTGATCCACCCTGAACAAATCACACCTGTAAGTTATTCCATTTCTGCTGAACGCACTTGGGGAGTATGTATGTAAAGTAAAGTAAAGTATGTATGTATGTATGTATGTATGTATGTATGTATGTATGTATGTGGTTAGACACAACAGATAAAGCTGGACATGTTTGTGCATACATGTACCTTGCAAATGAACACTGGATTCTTGTAGTATGAAAACAAAGCAGGATTTAGATTGTTTTTCCTGACCTCCTTGGCATGTTCAAATGAAATCCCCTGATAAATGATCAGAATTGAAAAAGTAAAATAAACATTTCAATAAAACAACATAGTTACTAACCCTGATCTGTAAATTAAACTGGAACAACTATCTTCATTTTTGAAAAGGTTTGTTGAGCAGAAGGAAACTAGGTTACTTACTCCCAGAATAAATAATTAGCACATTTGACTTGGAAACAGTTGGCAAGTACATCATTAAGCACTTAATTCACTGTGCCCAAGGGAAATAGTGAGTTTTGTTTTCCCAAGACCCTCAATGTTCCCTGTGGCAAAGCCGAGGGCAACATTGAGTGCGAGGGGAAACAAAACTAACTGTTTGCCATGGGGCCAGACATTACATGTAAGTGTTTTGTGATACCTCTCAACTCAAATATAGGAAAGCAAAAATAATTTACTTGAAGCCGGCAGGCGCAACAAATTTGCTACGGTTTCAAGGTGCACGACCTGATCACGCGTGAGTCGAAAGTTCAAGTTTTTGTTTCCCTAAGGAGTTAGTAAGTTATGTTCACCGTAGGGAGTTAGTGAGTTTCTAATCGGAAAACGTATTTGAGTTGGGAGGTATATAACAAATACATTTAATTATCTATAGAGTTATGAACCACGCATTAGGGAGATATGTTGACACACCTGGTATGGTTCAGGTTTATAGTCACATGGTGGCATTTCCAACCCAGGATCCAAACGTGCTGTCTTTTGCAGCAAGGGTCCTGAAGCAAATCACTGATTACAAGCTTGGTACAAAGATGCATGAATATAAAAGAAAAACTTCCTGCCTGCCTTACCTTACTTAATATAACTAAGTGAAACATGAAAACGCACGTGAGTAATTATTGAGAAAAAGAGATTTTTTAATAAAAGTTAATAAACCACCACGGTGTCATAATCCCGAAAAGGAATGGACTCCTCAGCGACCTTTTCATGGCAAACAGCTTAATCCAGAGATCCTATATCAAATACTTTCAATTTTAGATTTCATGTCCGTCAAGAGTGCCTCCTTGTAATCATGCTTCAGCAATTGCTCCTTGGTTTCTTTCTGTTTTGTTGTACATCACTTTCCTTCTGTTTTGCCCATTATTGTTGTCCACCGGCCTAAAATGCATGCGCCTAAAATGTCACTGTGACACTATCGCTTTTCCGCGAAGTATCAGTTTGCGTATTGTGAATGCTTGGGGTTCTGTTATTTCATGGGCTGACGTCTTTTTTGAGTTGACATATCCCCCTGGGAAGCCATGACATGTTCATCAATCTTTAAAGGGCAAAAACACGCACTCATTTTTTGAGAGAATCCATCCTCTTTAAATGAGTAATGGGGTATGTAGAATTGACAGTTTTCCGTGAAAATTGGCCAAAACATTCACTGATAGACAAGGAGCAAAGGGTGTTGGCAAATTCTTTTATTTTAAATACTTTTCTCATGGCGGCCTCTAACGCAACATGTTACGTGGATTTTTCGATAGTGGAACTTGACAGATTTATAAAAAGATAACCTACAGAAATACAAGAAAATGCTGACACCTTTTGGGAGATTGATGTTTTGTGATTAACACAGCACAGTTTTTTTGCATCAACAATCGCATTTGATACACAATTAATTTGCTGGAATACCAGTTGGTCATTTTGGCATTAACGGCTTCTGCTGCCTTAGGAAAGCAATGGGCAAAACAGAAAATAACTTTATCGAATATTTCGACATTTCATAACCTTTCTATTTATATATAGTTTGAGAGGGTTTCCTTGAAAACAGTGTGCGTACGAATTCTTTTCTGGAGGACATCCGTGAAGGTTTGGAGTAACCTTAATGACACAAATTACATTAGTTAGAAAAGTATAACTTTTGTGACAAAATTCATCCAAATTTATATGTACACATCAGGCTACATAGAAAGCTGGTGCATGCATGCTCCTTTCCTGAACACTATATGGCTTCTAATCTAGTTTAGAATGGGTATATAGGCAAAAAATTAAAGTGACTTATTTTTTAAATTTTAATACAAGTTCAGTGCCCCCCCCCCCCCCCCCGGGGGAGGGGTACTCCCACAGAAAAGTTGGGTGGGGTGTGTGGCCCACTGCCCAAAACCCTTACCCTATTTATGACCAAAATCTGCGATTTTGCTACAGCTGGCACAGTTACCCTAAACTTTTGTTGATGTTCTTATTGACAATGATGAAAAAGTAGCTTCGTCCAAGAAACATACCCAATTCAAGACTATCTAGAGTGCTAAAACCATACCCTATTTAAGACCAAAATGGCCAAAATCGATAACCTATTTATGACCAAAACGGCTGAAAAACCCTACCCTTTGGGGCCACACATACGTATATAGCCCATATACATGTAAGGGAGTACACCCCCGCTCCCCCAGGTGCTTGCGCACCACATCCCAGAACATCAAGTTTCCCAAAATACTTTTGCAATATCGCAAAATTAAGTTATAAAGAAATTTTGCACAACAAGGCATCTTTTGAACAAACTAGACAATTCTTGTATCTTGAATTGGGACAAAGGGCTTTTGGCGGACCAGGCTGTGTATCTGGCCAGATTCCAAGAGGGGTTCCAATGTGCATGTACCATCTACATGTACCTCCAGCATGTACAGGCTGGAGAAAAGCACTTGAGCAAGTTGAATGTAATCAGTCACTAAAACAAGCTAAAAGCAATGCTGCTTCTAAAGCAGTAGACCTCATTACGTGACCAGTGTAATGAAAATTAGCAAAAGATAGCAAGGTCACATCATTCTGTGCCAACAACTGTCAGGGGGGGGGACCCTGCCATATATGGGCTATATAGGTATGTGCCGCTGTGAAGGGTATGGTTTTCAAGCAGTTTACTCTAGGATAGGGTATATCACTCAGAGTGTTTGGATCTAGAATAGGGTATAATTTTTCACAAAACTGACTAGTTGGTCGAAGATTTTATCTAGACTAAGGAAACCAGGAATTGCCACTCAAAAATATAAAAAAA